TATAGACAATACAATTCATAAAAAATCATACTGATTTAATTTTGTCATATTTGGTGTCTCCAGCAAAATTGAACTTGTTAAGGTATAAATGTGTATACCAGATGTATACTATTGATAATATGCTTATATCTATCAAATGGCTAGATATAAATCTGTATGAGTGTTTATGAAAGATTTTGATTGTATGCGAACGCCAAGATAGGATTTAGCATGATTTGTAATGATGATACGTGTAGATATAAAACAATGATATGTTTTTCAGATCGTGATACCGCTCCTATCAACTATTTTAATCAAAAACGTAGAGGAGGAGGGGATGAAGGTGTTGATTGATAACCTGCTAGTCAGGGAGACAAACAGGTATGCAGAGTGATACCTGCAAGGCCGCACTCTATCGTCGCAGAGCAGGGCTCGGGCGTGGAGACCCGTTGACGGGAAAAAATGCGGGCATTTCTTGGACTCTTATTGGCCATGGGTGTCGCCAGGATGCCAACCCTTTCATACTACTGGAATGAAGGGGACAACACCTTCCTTCGGGAGATCATGTCGAGGAACCACTTCAAATCAGCTTGTGGTTCCCCCATTACACCGACAACTGTTGCAGGTCATAAAACTATACAACACCTTGATAGGGGGTGGTTGACCTAGGGGATCAACTGATTTGTCTTTACGATTCCCAAAGTTTTAATTAACTTTCTTTTCACAGAATCGGGTACGAATATTTTGTTACATAAAAAATCATAATCACCACTCATAGGTATATTTTGTACTGCTTATCATTAATAAATTTTAATTAGACATTGAAAATGGTAGTCGCTGATGGCGACTTTCACAACTTTAAGAATTACTTTAACTGAATACATTAGTTTGGCAATTGGTAGTTTGGTACGACTTCCACTATATTTCCAGTATAATAATTCATCAAGTTTGAGCTTTTCTGGTGATTATTCGATCAAGTGTTCACTCTTTCGTTATCTTTACATTTCAGTTTTGTCTTTCAGATGTTTTTAAACACCAATGGTAGAACCATGCCCGTCAGGACTTCCACATGTCCCTCTTCACTGACTCATCGGGAAAACTCACGTGACTAGGACGACTGACAGTCTGAGGACTCAGCCTTAATCGAAGTGATGGAGGGACGAGGAAACAGTGTGTCATCTGTAGAAAGCGACAGGGGACCATAGATGGCTGTGCATTGAAGATCAGAACTTAGGCCTAGATTTTCGAAGCTCTCTTAGCGCTAAGATAGTCGTAAGTTAATGTTAGTATATAGCACTTACGACCATCTTAGCACTAGGGGAGCTTCGAAAATTTAGGTCCTGGATCCTGATCCATGAACTTTCGTAGCGCTACGACGTCCGTAAGCCAATGATAAACTATAGAGTTACGACAGGTCGTAACGTTAAGAACGCTTCCTGGATTGGTACCCAGACTACCTTGTTGGTGTTCGTGCCCATTGTTTCCGTCAGTATCACACATTTGTTCACATCGAAGAGTGGAAGGCTGTATGTACTGGCACTTGATGTTCCATCATATCAACCCTTCCAACAGTTTCCCCATCTGTTCACTGTTAAATCACTTAACAAATCACAAATTACTTCACTGTTAAATAACTATTGTGAGAGTATGACTTTCGCTGTTTTCGCAACATCATGTCGAGTATTATTGTATTATATATGTCAGAAATGATTGTTAATATATTACATATGATTTGATTGTGAGAGTATGACCTACACTGTATTTGCAACATAACGGTGAGTTATTGTATATATGTAAGAAATGATTGTAAATATATTTCATATGGTTTGATTGTGAGAGTATGCCCTACACCGTATTTGCAACATCACTGTGAGTTATTGTATATATGTAAGACATGATTGTAAATATATTACATATGATTTGATTGTGAGAGTATGACCTTCACCGTATTTGGAACATCATTATGAGTTATTGGATAAATGTAAGACATGATTGTAAATATGGTTTATATGATTTGATTGTGAGAGTATGACCTACACCGTATTTGCAACATAACGGTGAGTTATTGTATACCTGTATATTGTATTTATCCTACACGTCTTTCATTGAATTAAATGTGTATATAATGAGAGATTGGAATTGTTGTCTTATGTATCTGATTTAAAGTTACAAGTGTAAGAACTGTACTTTTGAACAATAACAAAACTAATGCCAACCACAACTGTTTATAGACCCGTGAAGATCCGGGGTAGAATAGGTCTTCAGCAACCCATGTGCTTGCCATAAAAAGGCGACTATCTTGTCGTAAGAGGCGACTAACGGGATCGGGTGGTCAGTTTCGCTGACTTGGTTGACACATGTCATCGGTTCCCAATTGCGCAGATCGATGCTCATGCTGTTGATCACTGGCTTGTCTGGTCCAGACTCGATTATTTACAGACCGCCGCCATATAGCTGGAATATTGCTGAGTGCGGCGTAAAACTAAACTCACTCACTCACAACTGATAATAGACATTTTTCTAAGAATAGATACAACAATCACTATTGCAAAATAATGACAGTAAGCGATAATGTGTTTGATTCACTGTGTAAGTAAATTAATTTTTTAAATAGAATAAACGTTAAAAATGGTATCTGAATTATTCTTTTCCTAAATATACAGGACATAAAAAAATTAATTTTAAGGGTCTTGAAATATGAGGATCCATATGAGGGTCTGGTATTCTATGTTGTCGAATACTGCTTTGTAGCAATTAATTTGAACACGTACAGCAAGTCACTGATATCAGTATATTCCAACTTCTCGGATTATTCATGCATGTATTATAGTACCCGTGTGGTTTTGAAGGTGAAACTCCTTAATTTCGATCTGATTATTGTGCGGAATGTGATCAGCAAAGGGTCCGAAGTTACAAGAACCTAGTTACGATTCATTTACAGGAATAACAGCGTGTTTCATATAGATGGGGTTGCCACAGAGAGTCGGTACGACTGAAACTAATAGACCGCCTCCGTGGTGTAGTGGTTAGAGCGTCCGCCCGGAGAGCGGAAGGTCGCAGATTCGATCCCCGACCGCGTCATACCAAAAGACGTTAAAATATGGTACTTGTTGGTCCCTGCCTGGCGCTCGGCATTAATGGGTACAACAAGGACTGGTCGTCTCGGAGTCAGTATAATGTGTCTGAGTGGGGTATTTATGCTTCACTGCGACATGGTATCTCAGTGGGCTAGCACTATAAAACCAGCTTACGTCTGGGCTAGTACAAGCAGCCGCACATACACATACACGCGCATGCACGTCGTCATATGAGCGAAATATTCTCAAGTACGACGTTAAACCCAATTTCACCTCACCTCGCTTGAAACTAATATCTAGTCATTTAGAAAGTTGAATTAATAGAATTATTTTATATAAGTGTTTACAAGTATCTAACTTATGTAGATAAACTTCACTTTTGAAACTGGTATAACGTAAGCGCCGAGTACAGTGATCACTTGCTGCAGATCTACAGCAATTAATGTTTTAGTGATGTTCTTCATTGATTACCCGCTAGTTTTAATGGGTAAGTTTACACAAAACTAAACCATGACCGAGAGTTCTATGATACTTAGCTAAAAGATCAAAGCCACTCTCCTACCCAGAGTTCCATGCTAAGTCATCGCTGCGCCGCAGTGTGGATCAAAGCCACCGATAAGTACACTTTTTGCATACGTCACACTGTAGTGACGTCATTTGGTCATTCTAGTCTGCCCCCATTCTAGTCATTGTCTAGTACAGTCTCCTACGGTGCAACTCCGTAGCACCCGTTTCTTGGTTTGCAGTTGCGTCACCCAGCTAACATCACTAGTGGAAACATTAGGCCTACGTTAATTGTTTTCGACGCAAAAATGTCTCAGTTCACAAAGAACAGCGACACGGCCATGTTAGGTAGCTCTAAGCCTAAGTCCACAGTACCACTATGTATATCATGGAATGTCGGGTGACTAGTCAGCTTCATCTGGATTTACTGTTCTAAACTTACGTTGGTAATAAAAATGAGACGTTCATAAATTGAGAGAGAGAGAGAGAGAGAGAGAGAGAGAGAGAGAGAGAGAGAGAGAGAGAGAGAGAGAGAGAGAGAGAGAGAGAGAGAGAGAGAGAGAGAGAGAGAGAGAGAGAGAGAGAGAGAGAGAGAGAGAGGGGTGGGTGGGGAAGAGGCATGTATAGGGAAGTGAAGTGCCGTAAGCAATTGTGAATCTTCCTGGCTACTGCTCTTTGTTTTAATTCTATTTTATCTATTTTATTTTTTTCCTGTTAAGCATATGGATGTGTAAACTTCCTAGTCTCGGTTACACCTGGAAGGTGTGTAAAATTACATTCCTTCATGTGTTTAATATTCATTGGAAGCTTAAGTCACGACTATACATAATGTTGGCGTGACAATGTCATGGTGGGAGTAATGTTTCGGGCCATGTCATGTGAGTAAGTGAGTTGAGTTTTACGCCACACTCAGCAATATCCAGCTATATGGCAGTGGTCTGTAAGTAATCGAGTCTGGACCAGACAATGCAGTGATCACCAGCATGAGCATCGATCTACGCAACCACTAGGCTACCGCACCGCCCTCTACGCAATTCGGATACAATGACATGGGCCAACCAAGTCAGCAAGCCTGACTACCCGCCTTTTACGACAAGCAAGTTTTATCATGTCATGATATATAAGAGTTTTAAAAATGCTGGTTATTTTACTTTAGTAAAATGATTGGAGTGTATTAAACGCTGTGACATTCAAATACCGAAATAGCGCCGTAAAACAAAACAAATGGCAAATAGGTTAGAGTTATAAAACATGCAATTTTCTAAATTTAACTATCTGTTGAAATACAGGAACGAGGAACGTTGTTATGCGACCTTTTTACGACGTAGCCAGTTCCCACGTGAAAGAATTGAAGTCAGACAAGGATGTACGTAAATTTATGTTTTAACAAGCAGCTGTGCTGAAGGCTCTATTTTTAGCTTGTTTTATTACATGGGTTCAGTCAGATCGATCTACCTTGAACATTTTTCATCAGTTAAAGGGGGTACTTTACTTTTTGTATAGGATATGAGTTAAAAAACAATCCGATTACATATTCAAAACTTGCGGTGTAGTGTTATTCAAGCCGTTGTCAGGGGGTAAAGTACAGCGCATTACTCACCCCTCACAAAGCGGATGCTCTGGAGGGGCTGTCAGTTAACCTTCCGGGTTGATGTTAAACGTGAGGTGCGAGGTGGGAACGCTTAAGGTAAGATTTTGTGTTTACAATGAATTTGGTAAGATTGAAATTTGATAAGGTGCTGTACAAATACAAGTTTTATCAGACTCCGTGGTGTAAATCGTATCTCTTTGATAATCTCACTTGCTTGTCGTAAAAGGCGACTAACGGGATCGGGTGGTCAGGCTTGGTGACTTGATTGACCCATGTCATTGTATCCCGATTGCGTAGATCAATGCTGATGCTGGTGATCACTGCATTGTCTGGTCCAGACACGACCACGTACAGACCACTGCCTTATTGTGGTCTGAATTCCAATTCAGGGTCACTACGTCATCGGGAGAAATGCGCAGAATTGTAAGTGTACTGTCATCAAACGAGTGGTACTGAAATAGGGCATTACAGAACAACAAACTGCAGCCTCCCCACAACTTGTTCCATCTACAGCTAACCCCACACACATCACACACACTGACTCATCACACTCACTGACTGTACACAAGGGCTGTCTGCTGGATATAGCCAGTTGTGTGGATTTAGAATGACATTCGCTGGCTGTAAACTGTCAATATACGGACGTGACGACACGGTTGTCTGATCTGATGCGCTGTGTTTACGCATCTAATCTAATCTGACTGACTCACTGACTGAGTTTAGTTTTACGCCGCTTTTCGCAATATTCCAGCAATATCACGGCGGGGGACACCAGAAATAGGCTTCACACATTGTGCCCATGTGGGGAATCGAACCCGGGTCTTAAGCGTGACGAGCCAACGCTTTAACCACTAGGCTACCCCACCGCTCCTCAAATCTAATCTAATCATTTTGTATAGTGCTGAAAGGTTCCAGGTATACTGTTCACTGGCGCTTTCACATGTTTACAGTATGTAAACAGTATATACACAGTGCCTCTTTGTTTAACAGTCATAGGCAATTTTGAAGAGATGGGTTTTAAATTTGTACTCATGAGTTAAGTGGATTACATTGGGGTAGTGACGTTGCTGCGAGGCGAGGTTCGTTACCTGGCACAAAAAGACTTGGATCAAAGGGTAAAGGATGTTTTACTACATGACCTACTTGAATATTATGAATACACGATGCCATTAAGGGGCGATGGGTAGCCTAGTGGTAAAGGCGTTTTCTCGTCGCGCCGTAGACCCGGGTTCGATTCTCCACATGTGTGAAGCACATTTTGTGTCCCCCCACCGTGATATTGCATGAATATTGCTAAAAGATGCGTAAAGACAGACTCACTCACTCACTCACTCACAATGCAATTAAGAAAGTGGTCAAATGTAACTGTACTTGAAGACTGAGAAATATTGGCCAAGGGGAGTTATCTCAGATTCGAAGGACACTTTCTTGGGTGTCTAAAATGCTCTCCTTAACATCACGTGTGTCATTGTTATTGTCATTGAGAGATACGATGTGAACCACCCCAGGGCTACACTGGTTATTCCAAACTGAAATTCAAGCTGGTGTGTCAATGTTAAATGGCCGATTGTATCGAACGCCGCCGACAAGTCTAATAGCACAAGGAAACCAACTTGGCCATTATCCATTATCATTGTTGGAGCCGAAATGGGTTCCGTTTTTACGTTTGGTTTCAACCATAGTCGAATATCGTTAAAAGAACATTTCTTGATCAGTTTCAAACAGTCTTGTCACAGTGACAAAATTAACTAACACAATATTTGTGTGGATATATGCCACTACAATGTTCACTCCACTGAAAGTCCTCCAATTTCGGGCTCAGAACCTATCAGTCAACCACTAATTCAATCATATACTCTCTTAATTCAATGATGAACTATGTCAATAATTGGGTGATGTTGACAATAACATGATGAACTATCTTAATAATGTGATGTTGACAATACAATGCTAAACTATGTTGATAATGTAGTGATGTTGACAATACAATTCTAAACTATGTTGATAATGCTGTGATTTGGGCAATACAATACTAAACTATGTTGATAATGTAGTGATGTTGGCAATACCATACTAAACTATGTTGATAATGTAGTGATGTTGACAATACAATGCTAAATTATGTTGATAATGTTGTGATGTTGGCAATACAATGCTAAACTCTGTTGATAATGTTGTGATGTTGACAATACAATGCTAAACTATGTTGATAATGGTGTGATGTTGGCAATACGATGCTAAACTATGTTGATAATGTAGTGATGTTGACAAAACAATACTAAACTATGTTGATAATGTTGTGATTTTGGCAATACGATGCTAAACTATGTTGATAATGTGATGAATGCTAAACTATGTTGATAATGTGATGTTGGCAATACAATGCTAATCTCTGTTGATAATGAGTGCTGTTAACAGTACACTAATGGACTATGTAAACAACTCACGGATGTCAACAATACAGTTATTATACACATATTTTAGCAAGAAAGTGAGCGAGGTACGAGTTACCAATAAAGTGGTTTTGGATCGACGATTTTAACAAAACACAGCGAATTCAATGGTCTCGGTTTCTGCTCTCGCAAATGTTTTAACAAACATGTACACAGATGAACTCGACATGTATCTTTGGAGCAGTGATGTGTATCGAGTATGCAATTCGACAGATATATTCCATAGGTGTCAACGCCCTGAAAATACTGCATCCGATCCGGAAGATCATGGGCTGTACGAGAGTCCTTGTTTTCCTGGCTAGTCTTTCTCTCGCAGGTACGTATTTACGCTGTTGTATAAATATGCATTCATCTCGCCATATTGTCAAGACCACTTGTTTGTGAGAGTAAGAATGAGAGACAGTATGCGAGAGAGTGTGAGAGTATGCGAGGAAGTGAGAGAGGATGTGCGAAAGACTGTGAGAAAGTACTAGTATGTGAGAGAGAGAGTGTGTGTGCGAGATATGAAAGAGAGAGTATGCACAAGAGAGTGAGAAATATATATACGAGAGTGAAAGAAACTATGCAGGAAAGTTAGAGAATATACGAGTGTAAGAGAGTATGCGAGAGAGTGAAAGAGAGTATGCGAGAGAATGAAAGACAGTTTGCGAGAGTTAGAGAATATACGAGTGTAAGAGAGTATGTGAGAGAGTGAGAGGGAGTATGCAATAGAGAGTATGCGAGGGTGAAAGAGAGTATGCGAGAGAGTGAGAGAGAATATACGAGAGAGTGAGAGGGAGTATGCAGTAGAGAGTGAGTATGCGAGAGAGTGAAGAGAGTATGCGAGAGAGCGTAAGAGAGTATGCGATAGAATGAAATAGAGCATGCGAGAGAGTGAGGTAGAATATACGAGAGAGTGTAAGAGAGAGTAAGGGGGAGTATGCAGTAGAGAGAGAGTATGCGAGAGAGCGTGAGAGAGTATGCGAGAGAATGAAAGAGAGTATACGAGAGAGTGAGATAGAATATACGAGAGAGTGTAAGAGAGAGTGAGAGGGAGTAGGCAGTAGAGAGAGATTGTGCGAGAGTGTGAAAGAGAGTATGCGAGAGAGCGTAAGAGAGATGTGTGAGAGAAAGTATACAAGGCAACGTATGGGCGAGAGATACGTGAGAGTGAACAGGCGAGAAAAAGAAGAAGAAAAACTAGACAAGTGGGGGAGAGAAAGCGAGAGAGAGGAAGCGAGCTGGAGGAAACAATGCATGAGAGAGTACGAGTGTGAGAAAGAGAGTTATGTAGTTGTGTAATTGTGATCACGTGTCTTTATCTGTGTCAGATGGAACCCCCGTTGTGGACCCGGGGGCATATTTGGTCCACCAACCCGTTTGCCGTGGGTTGCGCCCCTGTGTTGGTGGAGGACGGGAGGCTGGTGGTTGAGGGCACTGGTTCCAGGAACAGTGTTCCTTTGCCCAACACACCACTTCGCCCCTTACTTCACCTAGACGGGTGGTTGAACTGGCCCGGTTCAATCAATCGGCTGGTCACGCCAAGCCCTGTGCATGGTTACTATTTTTGCACATTTTTGAGTATTGGGTATTTGGTCGTTTACACTGTCAGTGTATAAATTCTGTATCTAATTGCCTAGAGTCCCATGCCAGAAGGCGGTGGCTCATGGGCCAATCTGGTTATATAGACCTCTGAATTCCGTGTTCTTTAGAACAGCGTCATGGGCCGAACCAGCCTGGCACTTATTCTTTAAGATATCATGGCTTTTCATGTCTGTATTTTCTGGAGTATGGCATCCCTGTAACCCTGGTATTGTTGTCTGGTATCCACTGCAATACCGTCCTTGTTGACACTCGATGGCGGGTGGGGGGCAGGGTTGCTGAATGATATTATTACACCATGGCTAAAAACACTCAATCTGGTTCATCAAAGACAAATAAGCGGAGACATCTTTCTTCATCATCTGACGAAGAAGTATCCCCTTTCATGAAAGATTCTTGGCCAAGATTTTTGGTTATTTCTACTGAGGATGGAAGTCCATTGAATATTAATCCTTTTGCCGTCTCCAAGGGCATCCAAGGTGTCTGCGGAGAGGTAAAGAATGTCACTCGCCTCCGAAACGGTTCACTTTTGGTGGAATGTATACGGCGACAGCAATCTGTCAATCTGCTGGGATTGCAGCAGTTTGTGAATAAACAGGTTGTTGTCTCGGTTCACAAGACGCTGAACACTTGTAGAGGTATTGTTAGAGACAGGTCACGTTGTTTATCAGACATGTCTGAAGAAGATATTGTGGCAGAGTTGACGGATCAAGGTGTTATTTCTGTGAAGCGTTTCACCCGGAAACAGGACTCAAACGTGATAAAAACAAATACTTACCTCTTCACTTTTGGTCTAACTATGCTTCCTCAATCTATTAAGGCTGGATACTGTAATATCGGAGTGGAGGTATATGTACCAAATCCACTCCGGTGTTATAAGTGCCAAAAGTTTGGCCATGGTGCAAGATCATGTACTGGCAAGTCTATCTGCTCACGCTGCAGTGGAACCCATGACAGTACCGATTGCACTGGTGACATCAAGTGCGCAAATTGCAGTGGTGAGCATCTGGCTTCGTCGAAATCTTGCCCAAAGTTTGAATATGAAAGCCAAATTCTTAAAATCAAATGCATGAATAACATCTCGTACTTTGAGGCAAAGAAATTAGTTAACGCTCAGTCAAAATCTTCTATTGGTCAAACATATTCGGCCACAGTTTCTTCTTCTGTTTCGCCATCTATTAAAAGAACAGTTTCAACTTCCTGTCAGACTGACTTATCCTGGGTAAATGCAACTCAGATGAACTTGAGTGACAATACTTCAGTATCACAAGATTGTCAACGCTCATCAGCATCCCAGACTGAGGAATCACAGCCAGATGATATTAATTCAACACAGGCAACAGAGAGCGTTGTCCACCTGTCGAATAAGGAAAAGAAAAAATTGAGAAAAAAGAACAGAACTCTTCAACATTTGGAAGATTCTCCTTCGTCGACACCTCCCTGTGACGGTTCAAAATCCATTTGAACCACTTGATATGGAGATCACTCACTCACATACAGGGTGTAGGAGTTGCACTTCCATGCGCCCACGATCTCCAGTTGAACCTCCTTAAATTTGTTTTATGAAATTACTACAATGGAATTGCAGAGGCCTTAGGAACAATTTTAATGATCTACAATTACTATCGCAAGATATTAAACCATCGGCTTTTAGTTTACAAGAGACATTCCTGAAAAGTACTGATAAATTTGAATTGCGTCAATACAATTCCTTTCATTCATTCTCCTCCAGGTGATAAAGCAGCTGGCGGCGCTTCTATTCTAGTGAGGCAGGGGGTGTTATCCATAGCCCGGTTACCCTAAAAGCAATCTTCAAGCTGTTGCTGTCCGTCTTACTTTTACAGATAACCTTTACACTTTGTTCTTTATATATTTCTCCGTCTTCAAGTCTTCAGCAGTCTGGCCTCCAAGATCTTTTGAACAGCTTCCTCAACCATTTATAATCATGGGTGATCTTAACGGACATAACCCTTTGTGGGAAGTACCGATACCAATAATAAAGGAAAAATTCTTGAGGACTTCATTTCAAACAATAATTTATGCATATTTAATGATGGATCTGTCACATATTTACACCCTGGTTCGGGAACTTATTCTGCACTCGATCTGTCTCTCACAGATCCAAGTATTTATAAAGAATTCGACTGGTCAGTTCATGATGACCTGTGTGGAAGTGACCATTTTCCCACAATACTTTCAGCTATAATCCCGACTGATGACCCACCTGCAACAAGGTGGAATTTTAATAAGGCCAACTGGCCATTATTTCAGACACTATGTGCTGACAACTTGAAATCAGAATTGTTTGCCAATGCTCCAGATTCGATTCAGCTGTTCTCTGATAAACTGAATAATATTGCCGATGAAACTATTCCTAAGGCTTCTGCTAAGCCACACATTCGTAAACCATGGTTTACTGACGATTGTAAACAAGCTAGGAAGTGTAGGAAGAAGGCAGAGAAATACTTTCGCCGCCATCCTACAGTCCACAATTTCAATAATTTAAAAATGAATAATGCCAAGGCTCGACGTACTTTTAAACAAAGTAAACGTCAGTCTTGGAAGAACTTTATCAAAGATTAATTCCCGTACACCAATGACGAAGGTATGGAACATGATACAGAGAATCAAGGGCAAGGTAGAAATTCTAGTGTTCATCATCTCAAAGATGGCCACGATCTGTTAACTGATAAAATTGATATTGCAAACAAGTTGGGTGAAACTTTAGCTAGACATTCTTCTTCATCCAACTACAATCCAAAGTTTCAGAAATATAAAGATCATCAAGAAAAAACGTAAAATTAACTTTCATTCTGATAATGGTGAAGATTATAATGAAGTATTTTCACTACATGAGCTGAATACTGCCTTAACGCAAGCTCATGATACGGCAACAGGTGCTGATAATATCCACTATCAGCTCCTGAAACATTTACCTAATGCTTGTCTTGAAACACTTCTGAACATTTTTGATAATATTTGGACGACAGGGCATTTTCCTCCTTCGTGGCGTCATGCCATTGTTGTACCAATACCTAAGCCTGGCCGGGATCATACAGATCCATCAAACTACAGACCTATTTCATTAACTAGCTGCGTTTGCAAGACCATGGAACGCATGGTCAATAATAGATTAGTGTGGTTTCTAGAATCCAATAATCTAATTACTAACATTCAATGTGGTTTTCGTAAAAATAGAAGCACTATTGACCATTTGGTTCGACTAGAATCATTCGTTAAAAATTCCATTGTAAATAACCAGCATGCTGTATCAATCTTTTTCGACCTAGAGAAAGCTTATGATACAACATGGAAACATGGTATTTTAAGAGATTTACATGACTTTGGTTTGAGAGGCCGTTTGCCTCATTTTATATCACAGTTTTTAGCTGACAGGCAATTTCAAGTGCGTGTTGATCAACCCTGTCTGACCATTATAATCAGGATCAGGGGGTTCCACAAGGCAGTATTTTGTCCGTTACTTTGTTTAGCATAAAAATCAATAGTCTCTCAAAAGTATTAAATGACTCAATAGATGGGTCATTGTTTGTGGATGATTTTAACGTTTCATGTCGTGGTAAAAATATGCATACAATCGAGAGACAATTACAGATGTGTTTAAATAAAATTCATAAATGGTCACTTGAGAATGGCTTTAGATTTTCACAGATAAAGACCAAATGTATACATTTCTGTCGGAAATATAAGCCTCATAAAGATCCCGAACTGTACTTGGATGGCTCTCCAATTAACGTTGTAAAGGAAGCCAAGTTTTTGGGACTGGTTTTTGACAAGCATTTGACCTTTATACCACATATTAAGTATTTGAAGACTAAATGCCTGAAGGCATTAGATCTATTAAAAGTCGTGTCCAATTCAAAGTGGGGAGGGGATCAAACTACTCTCCTTCATTTGTACAGATCACTCATCCGGTCAAAACTTGATTATGGCTCCATCATATATGGTGGAGCCTGTAAAAGCAATTTGAAACTACTGGATTCTGTCCATCACCAAGGTCTACGACTTTGTCTTGGATCTTTCCGAACTTCTCCTATTGATAGTATTTATGTTGAAGCCTTCTCTCAACCAACGCCGTATCAAATTATCTTTGCAGTATATTACTAAACTATCTTCTAATCAGTCGAACCCTGCATATAACTGTGTCTTTCATCCTCTCTATGAGGATCTGTACAACAAAAAGTCTTCTCTTGTTCCGCCTCTTGGTTTAAGAATTAAACCATTTCTTTCTGCTGCCGGCATTGAGCTGGAAAATATATCTCCTTCCCGTCTTCTTTCTTCTCCTCCTTGGCAACTGGTGAGGCCTGAAGTTGACCTAACTCTGACAAAGTTTAAGAAATCTGAAACTAATGAATTACAGTATAAACAAGAATATAATCAATTAAAAATCAAATATAATACATACAAATCCTTATTTACAGATGGGTCCAAGGACGGTGGCGCAGTGGCATGTGCCACTGTCATTGGATCCAGAACAATATCTTCTAGAATACCTGATAACAGCTCTATATTTACAGCAGAAGCAAACGCCATCTTAACAGCTCTTAAATATATTCAAAGACATCCAAAACATAAACAATATATAATATTTTCTGACTCTCTTTCTTGCCTTCAGGCTATTAAAAATCTTTCTTGCAAACATCCACTTTTAATTGAAATAATCGAATTATATAATGATCTTGCTACTGGCCAATGCGACATCGTCTTCTGTTGGTTACCCAGCCACGTTGGCATTTCTGGGAATACAGTGGCCGATCTTGCTGCCAAGGCAGCACTCAACAAATCTGTGACACCACTTCTTATTCCATATTCTGATTATAAAGCTTGCATTAGAACTTACATCCGTGATCTGATGCAGAAGAAGTGGGACAACCAAGTAGGTATTAATAAACTACATGCAATAAAACCTTATATTGGTTACACCTACTTGGGTTGTCAGTCCAGATTTGAGGAGGTCATTATGCGACGATGTCGCATTGGCCATACGCGTTATACTCACAAATACCTATTGAAAGGTGAGGATCCTCCGTTTTGTATCCCTTGTGATGAGAGAACCACGGTCAAGCATGTCCTGCTTGACTGTGTTGAATTCTCCATCATAAGGGATAAATATTTCAATGTAAAAACAATGAAGGATCTTTTTACAAATGTTAATTATCATTTAATTATTGGTTTTTTTAAAAGAAATTGATTTCTTTGATGAATTCTGATTAATGTGGTTTATAAATAGATATATTTTAAAGATTGGTAATTTAGATAAGTACCTTAGATTGTTAGTGGCTGTACCCTCAAAGGAGGTTAAAGTACTGTAAAATTATTGTCCTCCTGAGAGGGTACGTAAGTCCCAAAACTTTCAAAGTAGACTTTTCACATACCAAGTTTTTAAACGTAGTATTTTTGTTCATTTAGATTTCGGCTAAATTGTCTTACAATCACCAGCGGCTGAAGGGATGGTGTAAATCCAACTAGGGTCCATGCAGGTAGCAAAGGTACTGTAAGTCCCCATGGACCCTAGTATGGTGACCTACTTCCAGTTGTTGGTGATCTATAGCCCATTTTTATATTGTGTTGTCCCCTGTGGTTAAAATGTTTTAGACTCTATTACTAGTTTTATCTGTATATGTGATATTCTAGTTGTTTTACTGCCCTTCGTTGGCAGGTTTTTATAATATACATATATTTCATTTCAATATCAAATGTTCTCGTCACGATATGGCTGAAATATTGCCGATGTGACGTTAAATATTAACTCACTCACTCACTCACTGTGTCAGATGGGACGTGTCACTGTGACACTCAAAGAGCCTGCGACGTATTCCCCTCAACTCCCTGCAGCCAGGTCGGCGCTCGAGACATGTGTCAGGCGGGGTGGTTTGGTCAGTACTGTCAGAAACGTGAGTACACACTGGTACGTATTGTATTGCTGCGATCCCAGGAGCAGTTAATTGTGGAATGTCTTCCGTGTTCGCTCAACAAGGCAGGGTTTGAACAGGGATACTCTACAACATATAGTCTCCCTGGTTTGAGTAATTGCCAGTATTCGTAAGGTCGGAAGACTTCTATCATGAGGCAATACTGTATAGGAACCTTTGGTTGTGAGAAGTAATTGATCAATATAAATATAGATATATAAAGCCCCATGAAGATCCGGGTTGGAATTGATCTTCAGTAACCCATACTTGTCGTAAGAGGCGACTAGCGGGATCGGGTGGTCAGACTCGCTGACTTGGTTGACACATATCGTCGTATGCAATTGCGAAGATCGATGCTCATGCTTTTGATCACTGGATTGTCTGGTCCAGACTCGATTATTTACCAACATAGCTTGAATATTGCTGAGTGTGGCGTTAAACAACAAACAAACAAAACAAAGATATATGAAGTAAGTGAAACAGTTGGGGTTAAAGCCGCTTGATCTCAGTTCCAGCTCATGGCCTGTCCGCTTAATGTGGGAGAAAATCCCGAAGTCAGCAAGTCTCAGATGTATATTAGGTGATGAAACCCATGTGTTTACTGTTGACAAACCTAGAAACCTCATGGAGCGCTCTCTACCAGGGTCCCGATCCACAAAACGTTCGTAGCGCTACGACATTCGTAAGCCTATGATAAACTATAGAGTTACGACAGGTCGTAAATTTACGAACGCTTTTGGATCGGGAACCACTGCCTATATTTTCGAAGCTCTCTTAGCGCTAAGATAGTCGTAAGTTAATGTAATGTATGGTACTTACGACTATCTTAGCGCTAAAAGAGCTTCGAAAATATAGGCCCTGGACAAGAACACATGTACGTTAACACTAGCAGGTTATTCTAGCCATTACGGTCAGTTCGATCTATCAACAGGAAACATTGCTCTAAGAAGCCCGACCAATCAGAGCAGCACATACGTAGGAGGCAGTACCTATTTTACCTCCGATCTTGGCGTGGATGGCAATGCTAACACAAACTTCAATAGTCTGCCGTATACCTGTACACACACACGCTATGATCAACCCGCAATATGGAGGGTTTACCTGAATACCTCCGACACAGACAAGGTGCAGCATATCAGACTGTATTTAAGGCCAGACCGTAAGTATGCACATATACGTCCATATATATATCACATAGCCGAGCGACCGTCAGTTGTGTAAATGTATTTTTTTCTTACTGTATTGATAAAATTTTAACTTCTAATTGGTTGTTGTTTATGCAGCATGGCATATCAATCAAACTGTTGCTGTCCCTTGTCAACAGGTATTTGATGTTAACGTTGGAAAATAGCTGAATCATTGCCGATGCTATGTATTATGTTAAATCATTTCACTCACAATTGTTAGGTTGTATTCAGAGAAATTCAAGTCAGATCGACCTATTTAATCCTTAACCCTCCCGACAGAATTTGTCGGTGGGTGATACACCACAACATGGTTTATATTTTGTTAATAAAAGAAACAATATATTCGCATAATCATTCTGGGTGGGTCAGCGTTAGAAAATTAGTGTTTCCTGATAATGTTACAGCTTTGAGATGCTTTCCCGCATGTACCCCCCGTAGTCGCGTCGCTATGGAGGCTACGTAAGAAAACCTCATACTAATTATTGTTAGATTTACCACTGTCCTAACCGCAGAAGTTCCACATACAATAGACAACAAGCTCAGGAGTTTAGACTAACGCTGAGTCTCTGATTATATGTAATTTTGATAGACATAAATATCTAAATAGAAAAGGGGACCCAATGATATTAGAGATTCCAGAACCTAAGGAATCTAGACTTGCTTCATTTGGGGCTTTCGCAATGCAGATGGGCTGACTGGAAGGAAACGTAATGTGGTTAAGGGCTTGTGAGACAGACGAAGCAGGAATGTGCCTGGGTTCTCCTCCGTGAGCACAGCTCTTCCGACACCGTGGGTAATGCAGGAGGCTGCGGTGTTGGGGAGTCTCCTTATTCTCCGGAAAGTTCTTGGTGGGCTCGGCAAGGCAGCTCCCTGGGAGAAGTCCCATTCGCTGTCTAGGCTGCGTGTAGAGGGGGCAAGGGTACCTGAGCTGATGATGATCCTTACCAGCCTGACTGTGCCAGGACCACCAAACCTCTCTTCTGCTATTTATTGTAATCCGTAAAAACTAATAATATCAGAAAAAGTTGAATTCTTTGATCGTTGGGACCCGTGAAGGTCCGGGTTAGAGTATTGGCCTTAAGTAACCCATGCTTTTCGTAAGAGGCGACTAACGGGATCAGGAGGTCAGGTTCGCTGACTTGGTTGACACATGTCATCGGTTCCCAGTTGCGCAGATCGATGCTCATGTTGTTGATCACTGGACTGTCTGGTCCAGACTCGATTATTTACAGACCGCCGCCATATAGCTGGAATATTGCTGAGTGCGGCAAAAAACTAAACTCACTCACTCTTTGATCATCCTAACAGAACTGGCACGAAACGGAGGCATGGAGATATTTGTGGACAATCGGCTGTGCTTCAGTTGGGATGCATCCTCTCGCCCTCTAGAGAGACAAGACGTCATCTGCTCCCAGCCTCTGACAGGACACACAGTGTCCATACAGATACCCATAGGTTATCTAACGCTATGCGAAGTACAGATATTTGGTGAGTATAAGTGCCTACAGAGGTGTTGTTAACATGTCAACTGCGGATACGTAAGTCCCAAAACATTCAGAGTATCAAAAACATATCATATGTGAAACCCACTTTTAGAGTTAGATGCTAGTTTTATGTTCTGGTTCTCATGCTAGTGGTTTTTACCGTCATTTGTCGACAGGTTTTTATAATTTAAATGTATTTATCGTGCATTTAGACCTTGTTTTAGTCACGAAATGGCTGAAATACTGCCGATGTGACTTACAATTTTAACTCACTCACTGCAGGGTACTAAGAAAACGTGAACGAGTGAGTTTAGTTTTACGCTGCTTTTAACAATATTCCAGCAATATCACGGCGGGGGACAACAGAAATGGACTTCATACATTTTACCATAAAGGGGATAGAACCCAGGCCGTCGGCATGACGGCGTAACAACTATGCTACGACCGGACCTTAGAAAACAAGGTTATTCTTGCATTCTTGCATTAGCAAGAACGTTACAGGAAAGGGCCGGTTACTACGACTTTGCTACTACATTTCCAAGAGCGTTACAGGAAAGAGCCGAGTTTCCTTGTTCTGTTTGCAATGCATTTAATCATGAAATGAATACGATATCAATGAAGTGCTCTGTTATTTGATACGTCCACTGCGCCCTTCATTATCACTCGCTTGACTATGATACTTCTTTAGTTTGCAGTGACGGATGGTTTGCTGGCGACTGTGACTTCCAATGCAACTGTCTGGACACCACAGAGGTCTGTGACAAGATTACAGGGGACTGTCCCAGCGGATGTGCCTTAGGATTTAACGGCACAGACTGCTTGTCCCGTACGTGTTTATACGCTGGTAGCCACTTGTCCTCTAATAGAATCTTAGTCTCAATTTAGGCGTAAATATGTATACTTGAAATATTAAATTTGTTATTTTTTATTACTAACTGACCTTGATAAATGCGACATAATTTGCTAGTATGTAAAGAACGACAAACCCCATCTTATCATCATCAGAGTGAGCATGGTTTTATGTCACTTTTATCAATATTCCAGCAATATCATGGCGGAGACACCAGAAATGATCTTCACACATTGTACCCATGTGGAGAATCGAACCCTGGTCTTCGGCGTGACGAGCGAACGCTTTAACCACGAGACTACCCCCATCGCCCACAATTTCTGTTGAACTGACCAAAATATTTCAACATATCTACGCTGATTTCGTCTATGATCCTCTTCTAATGCATATTCTAAAATATGATGAGCCACTGTATGCAACGAATAGATGAGTGGATCTCTCAAAATGGAGATAAGCAATATACACAGTGTAAAATCAGAAATATGATGTGTTTTTTTAAACAGGTGTATTTTTCTGAGCACCGCGTTTTCACGCCTCATTATACGCTTGGTAATGGCGACAAATGCCGTGTCTTTGGCTTGATGACCGGGCGGTTTAACCATACTAAGCTATCTCATCGCCCCTCGCCATTACAAGTCTCTGTTAAAACCTAAGTGAACCTCTTCAGTCCTTATACGTCATCAGTATGTATGTGTCTATCACACTTGAAATCATTCGTCACCACTCGCCCCTTCCCGTAACCTCGCTATTCGGCTTGTCCCGGAATAACACGAGTTGGTCACGAATGACTTGAAACGTCAACTGTAGTAAATTTTGTTTTGTGCTTGACTGTTTGATTTGAGAATTGCGAGATAATGAAAACACATGTTATGTCTTCAGCCTGCCAAAGTGATACCTATGGGTTCAATTGTACCTCCGTGTGTGGAAACTGCCTGGATGATGATATCTGTGACAGGACAACCGGAGCATGTCCAGGAGGATGTAGCGCAGGATGGGATGATTACAGATGCATACGACGTACGTACAAACTATGATTACTATGTTTGGTTGTTGTTTAACGCCACTCGCAGCAATATTCCAGCTATATGGCGTCGGTCTGTAAATCGAGACTGCACCAGACGATCCAGTCATCAGCATCATGTGCATCGTTCTACGCAACAGAGATACGATGACATAAGTCAACCAAGTCAGCGAGCCTGAAAGATTGTAGGAAAAAAAGAATCAGGAAAAAAAGAAACGGAAAAAAAGAAACAGCAAAAAAAGAATCAGCTTATAAAAAAGCTTACAGTCAGTATATTGTTAAGGAATAACTGGCTTCCAATCAAGTATAATTGGTATAAAGAATCAGCTTATAAAAACACAACATCAGAGTGGAAGAGATATTGTTAAGGGATTGCTTCCAATCATGTATAATTGGTATATGGTTACATTAGTTTTGATAGTGAACACATTCTGCAAATTGATATATGATTATACATGTATTATATTATATATATAGATTATATTGGTTATGATATTGGTTCATTATTCCACCAATAAATGTGTGAACTGATTTTTTTTTCTAGCAAAAATTGATTCTTTTTTCCGATTCTTTTTTCACTGATGCTTTTTTTTTCCGATTACCAGCCTGAACACCGATCCCGTGAGACGCCTTTACGGCAAGCATTGTACGCTGAAGACCAATTCTAACACGATTCTTCTCGGGATTGCTATCAATGACACGTGTATTCATATATCTTTTACTGACACGTTTTAAATACTATATCAGTTTACAATGTAACCACAATATGAACAACTTAAATGGATGTTGCATATTCTGCTGCCAGCATGTTGGGACGGCTTCTACGGTGTCAACTGCTCCTCCCGATGTGGGCAGTGTCTGGATGGAGACGGCTGTGACAAGGTGACGGGGACGTGTCCTAGAGGATGTGCAGCGGGGTGGATTAACGACAATACCTGTCTACAAGGTGATCAGCATGACGTCTGTGAAACAGAGGGTGTTCATGACTTTGATGTTATCTATTAGTCTGTGTGGGCCAAAATGATACCGGCGAATCACAATCTAACTCCAAATCGGTTCATGATCAGGCATTCATTTAAGCGCGGAATGTAATGAAAACATCAGACCAACTCTGGAAAGAAGTTTCATAACCCCCGGGGATTTCATGTACATGTATTCCCTAACATTTCACTGTTAATGTTTGTAGCTTAAAACTTTACTGTTGAGTCTCATTTCATCCCTTAGGTCTTAGGAGTTAAAAACTTTGACTATTTACTGATGACACTAAGTCAAGCTAAGAGAGGGAATTCACCAATAATATTCCAGTTGATGTTTTGACAAATGACATCTGTATAGATTATCTTCATAAACTGTTGTCTACATGTTATGAGACTGGTCATGTTCCCTCCAACTGGGCCCAGGGGATCATTACCCCTACAGCGGACAACCTGAGAGACCCTATGTCTTATCGCGGCATTACACTAGTGCATCTAATTGTTATGATTAATAATTTGTCGTTGGGTGTTGATATAACGATACCAACGTTGTGTATCAATATTCCTTTTGTAGTTTCAAAAGTTACAGAGGTTGTTTTATTGCATTGTCCTTTGTATGCTGATGAGCGATTATAGAAATAACTTAGAATATACACCATCCCGCTGTTGAAGAAGAGCTTTGGGATATGGGTTTGAGAGTCGAATTGTGGTGGTCAGGGTTTCCAGAAATGTAACCGTTGTCCTAACCAATGTAAATCGATACGTTGTAAATGTTTTAAAGTGCTACTGAAGTGTAATAGCTTGTATGATAACAGGCTATCTTGTCCCAACAAATGAATTTTATCAGGATATACTCTGTACTCGCATTGTAAATTTGATGTTCTCTATTTCAATAAGGGCTTACTCATGAAATCCCTGAGCTAATATTTCAGTAATTTCATGAAATCCCTGAAAATTTTAGGGAATACATGAAATCCCTGGGGGTCACAGGGATTTCATGAAATCACTGACTCTTTCAGGGATTACGTGAAATCCCTGGTTTCACACATTCCCTGTAACATATATACTAACTAGCCATTCGTAGATGAAGGTTTTATTTTTTCTTATACTGAACCATGATCTTTGCTTATCTCCCTCTTCTATGCGAATGTTAGGGGAACACTTGAATCCTTTGTAGTTCCCTAAAGCGGACGTAAAAGTACACTCACCCACGAGTTACCTCCTTTTCCCGAGCAAACAGTCATGCGACCAGCCTTTCTTGTCACTCTCTCCCTTTTCGCCCAAGCGGATGGTTGGGCGAGCACTGGAGTCCCATATACGGCATATATCCTTTATATTTAGATCCTATTTATCGAAATTACGCTGTGTATGGTATTTGGCTATAACTAGCTTGTATTATATGTAAAAAATTATTTGTATTTTGTGACGTATTTTCATCGTAATGTAACTTGTTTACATTTCATGAAATCTTGCAGTGTTTGCAGGTTCCGGCTATCAGTGGCTGATCCTCACCCCCAATGCCCGTCATGCATTGAGTCATGGTCTTCCACCTTGCGTTGTACATATTGCATTGGTTTATTAAATTTACAATTTAATCAATATTTGTCTTACATCTATAGACGTGCGATAGATCGGGTGAGGGAATCACAAGTCACTGTTAATAAACCTGGAGATCAAGCCGGTAACAGTATGTTGTTTGCTACTGCAAAAATACATAATTCAAGTGCTATGTCGAGTACGTTGCAGGGGCAGTCGTCTGTTACGAGGTCGAAGAAGAGGTCTGCTAGGACTGAGTTGGCGCCCTCTTAGAGTAAGAAGAAGACTTCTTCATCATCTACAACACAGAAAAGGGCATCTATAACTAGATCAGCCTCGATATCAACGCGACCTAGCAAGTCAACTCATCAGAGGTCGTTTAATGAAGAGATCATCCCGCCTCATGAAGCAGACGTGTTTGATGAGCCTCAGATACTTCTGCCTGAAGTACCTACTAGACCTACTAGACTGGCGAAGCAGTAGACCACCACGACTACACGATCGTCTCCTGCAACTACAACAGCTCTCAGGCTGTTTGACAACCAACCACCAAATTCTCAGCGTAGTGAAGTAGAAGCACTCAACACCTCAGCATTCGCGAACGCTTCGTCTACGCCACATCAGTTCCAGACAACGCAGAACTTTGATCCAGGCAACTTTATGAGGCAATTTACTACACAAATGATGGCCATGATGGAACGACGGTTTGATGAGGAAGCGAAGGCACGAGAGCACCTCACGTTGACAGGCAACGCTCGCAAACCCTCGGACCTGCGCGAATCTGATACGCCTCACAGATCTACATCTGGAGACAGCGTTCACGAATGTTCACTTTCACGAAGATCATCACAATCTGACGATTCAGTCATTATGGAAGAAGATGGAAGGTTCGCGAAGGCCCCTGACACTACAAGAGCTACGTCTGCGAACCCTCAACGTTCGAGAACGTCTAGGAAGCCTTCTCCGAGATGCAGCCGTTCCAGATCTAGATCCCACAGCCCTCACAGACGTTTGGAGGAATGTTCGCGAAGGCAAAGTTCACGAGAGAGAAGTTCGCGAAGGCAAGGTTCACGAAAGAGAAGTTTCGCGAAGGGATGGATCATGAGATAGAGGTTCACGAAAGCAAGGTTCGCGAAAGGAAGGTTTGCAGAAGGAGGGTTCACGAAGACATAGTTCAACTTACCAAGAACTATCTGATGAACACGGTGACTACGTCTTTGAAGAAGCGGAGGTCACATCTTGGATAGCTAGACTTAGAGTCTCCCGCCAAGGAATTGGATAAAGCTTACACATATAAGTTCTGGAAGGACGACTTCGACTCGGCGACTATTCCTCCAATTGAGCCAATATCCAAGGTGGCTTCGAATCTACGCACGGCTTTTGGAAAAGCTACGCGATTCCAGAATCAACATCTGCCATCATTTAATGTGATGAAATTCCCTTTACATCACATGGACCCCTTTATGAGAGCGCCGGACTTAGACGACAATATGAAATTGGTTAACGACTCTTGGAACAAGACTTACAAGATGGAGGATAAAAAGTTGGCCCAATTGATACCTCAACGAGGAGATCCTTCTTCAGATTAGCGTGATCCGGAGCAATCAATGGGGCATTAGTTCCAGAACCCCAGTTCGGAAGAAGATAGAATTATATTATCAGCTCTGCTAACTCAGAAGAAGGACCAATACTTCATATCGGACCATTTGGCCTCAACGTCGGCGGTCTCACCTTGATATGGAGACAGGGTCTACTGGCATCTTGTTCCTGGAGTGACAGATTTACCCAACCGCTACTTAGAGCTCCTTGGGTGGCGCCTACTATATTCGGAAGTGAGATAGATGAAGCAGCTAAGGAAGCTTCTCACGACTCTAGGGAAGTCATGATGATCAAGTCTATAGATTCTCTAGCCAACGTCATTCGCCATACTTCACAGAAGTACAGCAGCAAGTCTAAATATTCCGGTATCCAGAAGGCTGAGGAGAAGAAATACTCCAGCTTCAGAGGAGGGAGACAAGCTACAAGAAGCCATCAACTCGCTTCTAACCAAGAATGCGGTAGAAAGAATAGATCAACATCATCTCACACCAGGCTTCTACTCCCCAATTTTGTTAGTACCCAAGAGGATTTTAAAGGGAAATTCAAGCTGATTTACAACATGAGAAAATTCAACCAAGATTATATACTCAAACCAGACAGGTTCAGAATGATCCACCTATCTCAACTCAGACTACTCGCCCGTCCAGCAGATTACATGGCCAGCATAGACCTCCAGGATGCATATCTGCACATCCCCCCATACATCCAGAATCAAGAAAATATCTAAGATTCCTATTCAGAGGGCAGCACTTCCAATGGAACGTCCTACCGTTTGGAATATCGTTGGCTCCGTGGTTATTGACACGAATAATCAATCCTATCGTCGCCTACCTACATCATCGAGGTCTAACTCAGTGCTTTTCAACTGGACGATGGCATACAGGTTCATCAAAATGCCAATCAACTCACACAACTAGGATGGCTAGTGAACCTGATGAGGTCAGAGTTAGAACCAAAACAAGATCTTCAATTTCTGGGAATAAGATTTATCACAACACAGAATCGAATTGTGGTACCAGAAGATCGTTGGGTCAAGATACAAGCCATGATTCCTCAAGCAGTCATCACTCCGTTAACACTACGAACATTGCAATGTCTACTCGGTCTACTAACCTCAGCGCAGGACTTGACTCGCACAGGAAGATTACAACTACGACCGTTGCAACGATTCCTGGCAAAACATCGGCACAGCGTCGACCCTATCTCGCTACCAGACAACCTCAAAACGTACCTGCTTTGGTGGACTCACAGGTCGAATGTCTGCGGAGGGACCTATACACAAGAGCCGGCTTTCGACACACATCTTTACGTAGATGCATCGATACAAGGATGGGGTGCACATGTCAACAACCAAGTTGCATCAGGGAAGTGGGCAAAAACAGAACAGCATCTTCACATCAATCTGCTGGAAATGAAAGCTGTGATCAAAGCCATACAACTCTGGTCGAGCTCACTGATCAACAGAATGCTGATGGTCCTCCCAACCTCCCCGCTGAAAACACTTCGGATTTCACAGTAGATCCAGGTGCATGGGCTTAAAATCAGGAGAGTGACAAGTAAGGCTGGTCACATGACTGTTTGCGCGAGAAAAGGGAGGTAACTCGTGGGTGAGTGTACTTTTACGTCCGCTTTAGGGAACTTCAAAGGATTCAAGTGTTCCACTAACATTCCCATAGAAGAGGGAGATAAGCAAAGATCATGAGTCGGGATAAGTATAAAATATCAATTTTACTTAAACAATTACATCTTTGTTTGTTGTTGAACGCCGAACTCAGCAATATTCAAGCTATATGACGGCGGTCTGAACCAGACAATCTAGTGTTCACCATCATTAGAATCAATCTATGCAATTGGGATCCCATGACATGTGTCAACCAAGTCAGCGAGTCTTGCCACACGATCCCGTTAGTCGCCTGTTACGACAAGCATGGGTTACTGAAGATCAATTCTAACCCGGATCTTCACTGGTACACAGATAAAGGAAGACATGTCTTGTCCATGTCGTCTTTTGATTATTGTTGTTTCCCTCTAGAAAACACCGCAGCTGTAGCTGCAGCAGCTGGAGGAGCAGTTGCAGCTGTCTTGGTCGTCGCTGTCCTTGTGGTAGTCATCATCTTATGGAGACGGTACATACACGTAGTATATGGAATGTCGGCCGTTCCCATTGTCGGGAATACACCTTCGTGTTAGTGAGGGGACAGGTGGTTAATCAATGTAATAATAACTGATGGAAGATTGGGGGATGATGGGTGGGTGATGGATGGGTGATGGATGATGATTGGTGGATGTTGAATGGATGCTTAATGGATTATAGATGGGTGATTGGTGGATGCTTGGTGGCTGATGATTGGTGAATGATTTGTTAATTCAAGATGGGTGATTGGTGGATGATTGATTAATTATAGATGTGTGGTTGATTTCTGATTGATGATGATAAATTTCGATTTAAAACATCAAAACGGAGAAAATCAAAGATTCCAGATTCTCATCTAGAAGAAGTCATTATATATAAAGTATAGCCCGTGTTTTATTCTGTATTGTCCTCTTTAATTAAAATGCTTTAGTTTAACTCGCTAGTTTTATATGCATATCTGTGATTCTCTAGTATTTTTACTGTCCATCGTCGACAGGTTTTAATCTTCAAAATGTTTTCACTTTTTATTGTATAAATTGTTTTCGTCACGATATGACTGAGATATTGCCAGTGTGACGTTAAACATTAACTCACTCACTCATTATATATACATATAGATATTCATTGTGTCATTATATGAAATTATTCATTGCTAAAACTGCGTGTTTCTAGGCGAGGACAGAAGCACGACAGGCCCGTGCTGCCCCTAGAACGTCTGGTTGACATGAAAGACATTGAAGGTAACAGATGGAATAGGTGCCACAACAACCCGTGTTAACTGGACAGTGGCGATTCTCATGTATCACAATAACCAAAAGGTTAAACAGTTTTTATTCGTGATTATGCATTGTATTGGGGTCTAAACGTATCTCGATTAATACCGAATACCTGCTTTCAGTACAATCTTGCTGCTGTTTTGCCCTTTACGACAATGGAGTCTATATGAAGTTATTCTCTTGCATGTTTTACATGTTTCACATTTTCTAAACGTATGTGTACTACTCTAAGGGAACACCGTATTTCCTCCAAAAATCGCCCGGTGCTTATTTTTTCAACGGCGCTTATTTTGTTTCACTGCTTTACCCCGGGCGCTTATTAGAGGAGATATGGTATACGTGTTTCAACATTGAGTATACATATTGATGATGGTTTGGTTATAACGTTTCTACATATGTCTGTGTAGCACTATACATATAAGGAAAAGGTTTGCCATGATATCAGCTGTCTATGTGGAAGAGGGTCCTGCTCTATATGTTTTGTGATGCGTTGTCGTGTTTATACCTTGTGATTATACAGGTAAGTATGATATGGGGAGGGCCAGTGCCGAACCACCATCGGTGTATGAAGCTGTGGCTGAGGCTGAGACTGAGGACGAGGATGCCATGTACTCCGATGAGGCTGACGTGGACGTAGACAACGAGGCTGACGCCACCTACTACAACTGGGTACCACCACACATGCCGCTGGATAAACTGCAACAGTGTATACATGAGAAGCGGAAGAAAGCTTCTTTTGAAACAGAATTTAAGGTGCGCATAATATACATTATAAGTTGTTCACTGGTCTCGACGGGGACATGGGTTGATGTATCCTCGATGTTTGTTTATGTTCCCAGAGCCCGAAGGGACCAGTGAACAACGTAGGGCCTATTTATCTTACCGAACACCTAAATGTTAATTCTGAATTGTTTGAAGCACGGGTACAAATCTTTTTGTAGCCATCGCTAGACTTTGCTGACAAGGATGGTTGGTTTTATAGTTTTAGGGCGACGTGGGCCAATAAGAGGCCTATTTGCGCCCAACACATTGACTTGATTTAATAAACAATCATACGTAATTTCATTGCCAAAAGGAATCGTTTAGCTAAGATAAAAGAAACGACAACACTATTAATTTGGATAGATGTATACATATATGGAATAACCTCTGCTTCATGTTACGGATTAAAAACCTTAAGTAATCACTTCCATTACTGAAACATGAAATACTCAATATATAACAAGTTTTATGGATAACAACTTCTTTATTTTCGTGAGTGCGACGTTTCGATACAGATTCTTGTACCGTTGTCAAGCAAGAGTGATACATGAAGTGTAGGAGCTGCATATATATACTGTATATAACAATGAAACAACATAATAGACAAAGGAAACAACATAATTGCCATGATTGGCTAAGCAGTAAGCAGGAATAGACACTACCTTCTCAGCGTCCTCCAGCCTCAACAGCCTCCTCCATGCCAACGGAAGAAAACAACCCACCGTCAACAACAACAACCCGAAATGTGTTATTTACAAAATAGACTGTGATTGTGGACAATGCTACATAGGTGAAACATCCCGACCCATCAACACCCGAGTCAAAGAACATCGCACCTCTGTTGCTAATTCCGACACCAAATCAGCTATCTCTGACCACATCAAAGCCAACCCCAATCATCAAATAGAGTGGTCCGACATCACCATTCTCGCCAACAACCAAACGGACTTCACTAAACGCAAGCTCACAGAAGCCATTCACATCAAACGCCACAAGCCTACCATCAACCGTGACCAAGGATACTTCATTCCATCTGCTTATGATCCACTCCTCCACCAAGCCCAGTCTATTGTATAAACATCGCATCCATTGTATAAACATCTCATTGTAACTACATCTCTGGCTTCCATTCACTATCCTTTATGTACTTACTGGCTTCTTCAGCTTACTGCTTAGCCAATCATGGCAATTATGTTGTTTCCTTTGTCTATTATGTTGTTTCATTGTTATATACAGTATATATATGCAGCTCCTACACTTCATGTATCACTCTTGCTTGACAACGGTACAAGAATCTGTATCGAAACGTCGCACTCACGAAAATAAAGAAGTTGTTATCCATAAAACTTGTTATATATTGTACGTCTCAACTTCTAAAATGCCACTCAAACAAGTCATGAAATACTCATTCAATAAAAAAGCAGTAGGTTCAGATGACAGAGTGTTAAAATGATTTAAAACCACAGAACTAAATCTGTCTAAGCCATTCGAGAGCCTGTCTAGATTACATCATATTTTCCAGATGAAGAGACAAAATCTAAAACTGCCCGTTGCACAGACCCATACATGATATTGGGGCCCAAAACTGTTTCTAATGAGAATACATCATCAACCTCAAGTACCGCACTTCTGAGATTTTGTCTTATGTTGTTATGCCCAGGGCATGTAATTAGATAATGTTCGATGTTTTCAGGCGTCTCCAAATTGCAATGGCCACCGTCTTATCTATAATGCTGACAAGGAAAACAGATTTAGAGTTATCTCCCTTCCATCGATTTGCATTCGCAAAACATCGATAATTTCCGTACATCATACGTGATTCAATGTTATTAGAGATTAAGAATTACTACCACGAAGTACCAAATGAGTTGCAATTGACAGCGGGGTACATTGACATGTTACTCGCTTGTAAGCGGGGTACACTGAAAATAACAGAAGAGCGCTCAGCCAATCAGAAAGCGACATTTATGTGCGAGGTAAGATAAAGTCTCACACACGTGCACTGACTACACTATATAAATGCAGTGTGGTTGAACTCACCGTTAAACTCATATCATTCCCCTTTTATTTTACTACACATTACTGTTTCTAGAGGACTATAGCCTTAGGCTAGTATTAATTTATCCTAAGTGATCTCATGAAAATTATTTGTTTTAATATTGATGTGATTTGGTTTTTACTTAAACTGTTTTACTGTCTTTTGTTGACAGGCATTTAGTAATAACTAACTTGCCTCATCGTGAAAAAAAACAAACTCACTCACTCCTACACATTCCTACTCGCAGCGTCCGTCTGTGCGCCACAGAATAGAGAAAATGTTATTTCTGATAGCCAGTGACCTACGTTATATTTACACTTTCTCAGTAACGTACATATTCTTGTATTTGTGGAGCTGAGTTCCATCCGCGATTCGATCACACTCTGTCAGAGTCAGGCAGAGTCTCATCACAAGCACTCAAAGTAAGCCATCTAACCCACTGAGCCATCGCGGCTTCCACAGATGTGGAAGTCTGACAACCGGTAGTCTTCACCATGTACTTTGTGTGTGTAGACCTCCGATATAAATTGGCACGGCTCACTAGACCGAACGAAAGCTATGATCACACAATACCATTCATGGAGTGGTCAACTGTAACATATGGTATATTTGGGCACTTTACCAGTTAAAGTACAGGTCCTAGTAGGCTACTCGATGAGGTTCCTGACTTCAAGAGTGTGGGTTCGAATCCCGAATATGACTCAACTCCAAAAGCACTAAAATCTGTACTTTACTGAGAAACTGTAATCCCCAAAATACAATATGTTACATTATAGTACTTTTTTAAATGGCACTGTGTATTCGCTGATGACTGGTATTCAACACCTGACCCCTGTTGTGTGTGTGTTATAATGCAAATATTTCACTAATATTTCACACAAAAATATAATAACTATGATATGAAATTTATATGAATTTACAAAAGTACCTATGTTGTGATTTTCCGTACACAAACGAGAGTAACTCACTCAGGTTGTAAAATACATGCCGCCAGACATGGACATACTGTAGACAATAGATAACGCCGACTTGCTTGTGAGATTATCATTACGTGGTCAGCGTGTCAATCAGGAAGTGACATGCAGCCGGTAACTGCAGGGCAAACCGTTATCTATTGTCTACAGTATGTCCATGTCTGGCGGCATGTATTTTACAACCTGAGTGAGTTACTCTCGTTTGTGTACGGAAAACCATAACATAGGAACTTTTGTAAATTCATATAAATTTCATATCATAGTTATTATATTTGTGTGTGAAATATTAGTGAAATATTTGCACTATAAATATTTGCACTATAACATGTGTACATTGCCAAGGCTATCCCATATGGTGTAAGACGGCCACACAAGGTTGGGAAAAGACCCGAGAACAAGAAGAAGAACCGGTTTATTCATTTATATCCGTGTAAGTATAGCAAGTGTTATATTCTCATGGTAAATAGATGTACATGTAACAGTCTAATAGACAAAACATTCCTTTCACGATCAGTTGGTCTAGCTTGGGCTGCTGGTGGTCTCTAGCCCGTATTTTGATAGCGTTAACTGGTAAATGATGATAACGATTTGCTATTCAATGTGGTTGATTCTATTCTATGAAATATTATCTTTGTTACAGGAATTTATCTATATAACTGTTCTCGTCAGTATTTGACTGAAATACTGCCGATGCGACGGTAATCTTCACTCACTTACTTGACTAGTCTGTCATACAGACCCTGAAACAAATATATCCAAGAAAGCCCATGCAAGTCTAGAATATGTGGCAAATCTAGATTTCCACAGTTCAATGAAGAGAGTCTCAGAACTCCTTTTTATTACACATTATTCTTTTATTATGAACTTTTTTCCCCTGTACATTATGTTCATTGCATAAACTAGCTGTTAGTATGTGACTTGACTGACTGATCGATATACTCTCTCTCTCTCTCACACACATACACACGCACGCACGCTCACTCACAGAAAAAGACATCATCAAAAGGACAAACAATGCTGACTTTAATTCACACATTGTCGTGATTATCGTTTTCTAGATGATGACACACGGGTGGTGTTAACCGGTGACGAGCATTACATTAATGCCAATTATATCACGGTAAGACTCATTGTGAATCATCATGTCTACATTATTTCATATGATCTTAGCTCTTGTGTGAGTTGCAGTTGCAATAATTCTACGTGTACATATTATTGTTAAACATCATTCAATATGTTCTGGTCCAATTCGCCCTCAGACTATACCCCACCTTCATTATCGACAAACATGATTGGTGATAGAGAAATATAAGAATGCATTCAATATGTTCTGGTCCAATTCGCCCTCAGACTATACCCCACCTTCATTATCGACAAACATGATTGGTGATAGAGAAATATAAGAATGCATTCAATATGTTCTGGTCCAATTCGCCCTCAGACTATACCCCACCTTCATTATCGACAAACATGATTGGTGATAGAGAAATATAAGAATGCATTCAATATGTTCTGGTCCAATTCGCCCTCAGACTATACCCCACCTTCATTATCGACAAACATGATTGGTGATAGAGAAATATAAGAATGCATTCAATATGTTCTGGTCCAATTCGCCCTCAGACTACCCCACCTTCATTATCGACAAACATGATTGGTGATAGAGAAATATAAGAATGCATTCAATATGTTCCAATTTTAAAAAAATCATTTAAGCGTCAAGGAGAACTTCAGATGAATTTGAACCTGTATTGTGTAATAATTAGAAAAGATCAAATATAATATGAAAGCAATGAACATTGTCTCCAACATATTTTTACAGGGACATAATGGGACGCCGAAGTACATAGCAACTCAAGGTATGTAACCCCACAGGTGTGTTTAACCATAGCAACACAAAGTATGTAATCATCACAGCTGTATGTAACCATAGCAACACAAAATATGTAACCATCACAGGTGTATGTAACCATCACAGATGTATGTAACCATAGCAACACAATGTATGTAACCATCACAGGTGTGTGTAACCACAGCGACACAAAGTATGTAACCATCACATGTGTATGTAACCATCACGGGTCTATGTAACCGTAACAAAAGATGTTTGTAACCATCGTAGGTGTGTGTAACCATAACAGCACAAAGTATGTAACCATCACAGGTGTATGTAACCATAGCAACACAAAGTATGTAGCCTTCACAGGCGTGTGTAGCCAAAGCAAAACGATGTATGTAACCATAGCAGCCCAAAATACTTTGCCAATTGAAACTTATCCTACAGGTCACAGTGGGGTAGCCTAGTGGTTAAAGCGTTCGCTCGTCACGCCGAAGACCCGGGTTCGATTCCCCACATGGGGATAATGTATGAAGCCCATTTCTGGTGTTCCCAGCCATGATATTGCATGCTGCAATATTGCTAAAAGCGGCTTAGAACTAAACTCACTCACTCACACTCACTCATCCGACAGATTACTAAATCTAAAAAATTAGTAAATAATATTGAGACTGGTTATTTGTTGGCGTTTAGCTATATATTGTATATAAACACAGGGCCGCGGCCGGTGACGGTGGCGGATTTCTGGCGAACTGTGTGGCAGGAGAAGGTGGAGCAGATAGTGATGCTGACGAGGCTGATGGAGAAGAATAAGGTAGGCTGGGTTGTCTGGTACAGACCAGTGAAGATCCGGGTTAGAATTGATCTTGAGCAACCCATGCTTGTCATAAGAAGCGACTAACGGGATTCGGTGGTCAGGCTCGCTGACTTGGTTGACACATGTCATTGTATCCCAATAGCGAAGATTGACGCTAAAGATGGTGATCACTGGATTGTCTGGTTCATGCCGCCGCCATATAACTTGAATACTGCTGAGTGTGGCGTTAAACAACAAACAAATCAATCCGTAGTGTGTAAGTTGTTATTTAACTGATATGCAGGATATACTCATTAGTTGAAATAAGGGAACGGGCCATTAAGAAAAGGGGAACATCTCTTTGTGTGCTTGCTTACGTCAAAAGATTTAAAGTATTTATACCTGATCGGGTGGTAAACTGACTAAATAAGTATTCTGTATGTCTGTGTCAGTATAGCCGTGAAACTCCAGATTGATCTTCAGTGACACATGCTTGTCGTAAGAGGCGACTAACGGGATCGGATTGTCAGGCTCGCTGAGTTGTTCACTGTTGACTGGTTGATGCGAGTCATCGTATCCCAATTGCGTAGATCGAATCCGGTGATGTCAGTCACTGGATTGTCTGATCCAGACTCGATTATTTACGGGCCGCCGCCATCTAGCTGGAATATTGCTGAGTGCGGCGTGGATTATATTTGCCACGTGCGTCGTACGATAAAGTTGTCTACGATTTTTAGGCATCGTGGGTGACCGCGGGCTTCGCATTTTGTGTTCTCATTGTTTACGGGCTTCGTGCGATTTCCTTGTGAACGGGCCGAGGTAAACCTGATTCGCTGTTTGACAAAATTGTAGAGGATACGGCGCCCGTAGAACCGTGCGATGATTGGACGGCTGCCGTCGCACTGCGACCGCACGGAAATGGAGTTGCGGGCGGTTTACGGGCGCCGTAGACCCATCGCAGGCCAAATGTGAGCCAGGCAAACAAACAAAACCTGTGTCAGTATCCGAAAGTAACCCTGTTCATACAATTGGATTGGTTGATTGTGCAGTTATCACCAGTTTGTTTTTACGTCACCCGGACAACATTGCTGACGTCATTCAAATCTTATTCTAATGAATGGAACAATGTGACGATGAAACGATGTCATACCTGAAAGTAGTTGGCGACATTCGTCAATTGCTGGCTGCTAAGACGACAGGACAATCTTAGTTACAATCAATCCTAGGCGTATGAACAATATTCTCTATTTGCGTGTTTCATTAGAAAAAATGTGAACATTACTGGCCCGACGTGAACCAACATCAGACTTATGGAAATGTCAAGGTCACTAACAAGGCTGTGGTATCTAGAGCGGATTACACGATCTCGACCTTCCTGGTAACACAGGCTGTAAGTAAACTGGAGTGAGTGAGTGAGTGAGATTTTACGCCCCTTTGAGCAATATTCCAGCAATATCACGGCGGGGGACACCAGAAATTGGCTTCACACATTGTACCCATGTTTGGAATCGAACCCAGGTCTTCGGTGTGACGAGCGAACGCTTTAACCACTATATATTGTATATGATTACATCATCATTAAGAAAAGTAAAATTCGTGTTTTTCAATATTAATGGCAGCGTTCGTCCAAGTTTGACGATGAATAATCGTTCAGAGGTTTCAGCTCGAAACTGATCTAGAAGCACAGATAGGAGTCATCATTTCATTTTATTTAGAAATAAGAAAGTTAAACGATCGTAAATATGGGACAGTGTTAACACAAATTCCTCATAAGGGCGTCTCTCATAGGTTTGATGGGCAGCCCGTTTCCTGAAGTATACTAATCATGTTGTATAAAAATATATGACAATCATTTGTTGATGTTTCCTTACAGTCTTTGAAGAAAAACAGAAATTATGTTTTTAACGAAAATTAAGGTAGATTTTGGATATGTAAGTGCAAACATTACAAAGAGCTGTGCACCCCCACCTTTTGGTATATAACTTGATTCTGGTGTCAATTGCTATGAAAGAGTGCATGTTCTATATAGACTGACGAGAGGACTGTGACTCACTACCACTTCACATCTTGGCCTGACCACGGAGTCCCTTCACCTCCTGCCCTCGTCAACTTCTGGAGACTGGTTAAACTACAGGACAAGGGACCCATGGTGGTGCACTGCAGGTAACTGGCTTGTATAGGTCAAGACATTTACTCTTGTCTGAAACAATGTCTGTTGTTTAAGGCCACACTCATCAACATTCCAGCTATATGGCGACGGTCTGTAAATAATTCAGTCTGGACCAGACATTCCAGTGATCAACATCATGAGCATCGATCTACGTAATTGGGATATGATAACATGTGTCAACCGGGTCAGCGAGCTTGACCACCCGATCTCGTTAGTCGCCTCTTATGACTAGCATGGGGGAGCACCTGTAGAATACAGTACCACAATTTCACGTGCAGACGCTCTCTGTTGTAGGTCACATGTCACTAAGACAAGCATGACGGTTGACTTATTCAATGTAAATGCGCATAGAGACGACATAACAGAACATTGACATGTGCTTAGGCAAAACCAGCAACAGTATGACGTCACAGAGCATTGGTTTTGGTAACAAATGGTCACAAATTACGTCAGAAGGTATTGTGATGTAATTTGTAAAGTTTGTGTGCTGCATTCTTAATAGACTAGTGGTTTCTGACTCGTCAGAGAGATGAACCCCAACCGGAGGTATAACAAGCCACAACCTATATCTTTATCATGGTACATATCTACCCTTTATGAAAAGTAAGGTTGTGGTCGCACAAAATAGGTATGGCACATGGTAACCAACATTTGTAAACATTATACATGACACCCGTGGTGACATGGGAATAGACTTGGCAAGTTCGATACATAGACACCCTAGTATTCAATACAGGTCATCATGTGTTGAAGTCCGTGTTGTATTACCAGCGCTGGTGTAGGTCGGACAGGAGCCTTCATTGCCCTGGACTACCTGGTGGATGAGGCTGAGACTGACCACAACGTCAACGTCTTCATGTGTGTCAGCAAGATGAGGCATAACAGGATGAACATGGTCCAGACACTGGTAGGTGATGAAGAGGGTGGGCTGGTGAGTGAGTAGATGGGTGGTGAATAACAGGATGGGTGAATTAGTGAGTGGGAGGGTGAATACTAGTAGATGGTTGAGTGAATTGATACGTGGACCGGGGGGTGAGTGAGTGGATAAATGAGTGAGTGAGTAGCTGGGTAAATTTAAATAAGTGCGTGAGTGGACAAATGTGTGAATGGATAAATGGATGAGGGAATGCGTATATTTATGTTATCTTCCACGTGACGAGTTAAAAGCTATTATGGCGAATACGTGAGTGAGTTGCAAGTTGCGCCCTTTTTGACCATTTTGGACATTAGTTCACTGTTGTCGCGAGTGTCAGGTTTTTCAATGTAAAGTGACGTGCTGTGGAGACAGACCCCAGAACATTATCAAGTGCAAATCTGGATAAGCACCCACAATCAGCGGATCCTGACACGTCAAAGAGACATAAACCTGCAAATCGACTTTAATCAGTTAGTATAATTCATAAATAGGCATGACATTATTGATACACATGACAAGAGAGTCGCTTTCACCCTAACTGAAAGAGTATTACCATACTTCCCCAGAAACAGTATGAGTTCGTCCACGACGTTGTCCTGGAGGCCATCAACAGTCGTGGGACACGGTACACGTCGTCGGAGTTTCATCAAACATTTGGTTCAGAGAACACGTTCTCCCCCCAGCAGGAAGCTGTACTCAGGAAACAGTTCCAGGTAGATCTCACTCCATAGCTTTTGGTTCTTAGCAATATCAATGTGACAAAACTCCAGTGCATATACTTCTATTCTGACGTGTCAGAGTGCCACGATTAGCAGAGCTGCGTCCCTTGATTCTGTTAGTTTTCATTGAAATGGGATAAATTGTAGCTTGAAACAATCATATTGTATCTGAGGATTCATAAAGTACTGTTCAATTACCAAGTCTTCTGTAAACATCAAATGGGCTCCAGAAAACAAGACAAAGGCTGTATATATAAGCTTATTGTTGAGCGTGGCGAAAAAGAACAACAAAATATCATTTAATATGTTAGTGACACAAGATGATTGTTGTTCCTCCTTGAAATTATTACTGAAATCACGGACTTGTTTAGCGATGCTGAAAATAGAAGGGACACTGGCATTTGGTAACTGAGTGTACCCCAAAGCTTTTTGAGAAAGTGGGGGTGGGGTGGTGGGGGTTGCACACTACATTTTCACGAGTTTCAATGGTCATTTAATAACATTAATTCAACTTTCAGGACAAAAGAGGGTGTGCGCACCCCTGCACCCCCTCAGGATCCGCCTATGTACCCTATTCATGTCCCAATCATCTATCATTTTACACAAATATCATATTTTCAGTTGCTCCGAGAACTAGCATCTCCGCTGCCAGAACATGAGACATCGCATGCCCTGGTGCCAGAGAATTCAGCCAAAAACAGGAGTCGAGATATCCTCCCTGGTATTTCCTTTGTGTTGAGTTCCCACTCCTTTATTTGCTTTGATCTTGGAGGCACGGGTTACACCATTCGTCTCAGAGTGCCACGATTGACAGAGTTGCGTCTCTTAGAAAGAAACTGACATCGGAAGTTCAAATCCCATATTCTCCCTGATATTGTTTCTAGGTCTGTCAACTACATGTCCGTGCACCAAAGCGATAAATGTCAAATTTCATTTTGTATCAGTGAGTGAATGAGTGAGTTTTACGCTGGTTTTAGCAATATTCCAGCAATATCACGGCGGTGGATACCAGAAATAGGCTTCATGCATTGTACCCATGTGGGGAATCGAACCCGGGGCTTCCACGCGAACGCTTTAACCACTAGACTACACCATCGTCCCCTAGAAACAAGGGCAAACTCAAAAACATTCAACTAGCTTTCACGCTGTGGCTTTACTCTGACAAGATGGGAATGTCAATATTAAACATGCAATAGCATATTCTCAGGGGATCATAATTCAAGTCTGAAATGATGTGTAAATATATTATACCAAAGATCCAACGTGTTTTGGAAGCAGGTCCCATGTGTTATTATAGGAAACAAGTCAAGGGCCTTTCTGTGCACACCGGTCAAGAAGCGGAATGACTATATCAATGCCGTGATTGTCCCAGTGAGTATACAAATCCATCACTGTCACCCGTTCACTACATAAGTATACTAAATTGCAATCATTATTGTCCTTCACAAACACGAAGCCCCTAGTGAAATGCTGTGTAGTAAGTCGTGATTTTTCTGAAGTCGTTTATTGCGGAAGTCGCTGTTGCTATGGAAAGTTTCCGCTTGTAAAAGACAAGTATATATACAACAAGTCTGTCTCACAATCCTTGAACCACATTATTTCCCTATCCGCCCAGCCCTCCCTGCCATGCTGAAACCCTACATGAAGCAAGACCCCCATCAATCTTCCATCTCACTCCGGCTCCTTTTCAATTTAAAAGGAATTATTTGTTTCTATCAAAACTACATGTATATACATTTACACTCTAATCGTTAGTCTAATACAGAACCAGCGCCTTGTTATAAGAGACCGATTCCGCTGGCTCATATGTGTCTTATACTGCTCAAAATATGTTAAGCACCACACGATTCCTTCATATTAGGGTAGTTGATCTGTTGTAGGTATGGATGTAGAAATATGAAAGCATGAAGTGATCCTTAAGAATATTTTGGTAGAATACATGTACATTGTGTGAATATCTCTGCCTCCTCCATATTAAACAAGGGATCACTTGCAGCTGTTCCAGTGCTTCTCCCAACCGTCCACCATGATAGTCACCCAGACCCCTCTCCCAGACACTGTAGTCGACTTTTGGAGACTGGTGTACGACCATCACCTCTTCACCATTGTCTGTCTGGATGACTTCCAGGTAAGACGGCATTGTGTGGGTGTGTTCCATTGTTGTTGAACAAGGCTATAAGTATTATTCCACAGTTTCTTTATGGATAGACAACTTCTATATTGCAATGGATGCGACAATTCAGTGTAGATGCTTGCAACGAAGAAGTTGTCAATCCATCAAAAATTGTCCATGTTTAGGGACAAAATTATTAAATGAAAAGCAGAGCAAGATCAGTTTGTCCAGATCAATAGATATAAAATATGTTGATTTTTCTATCACAAAGGATGACTATTTCAAAATTTCATTCAAAAAGGATCTATTTAACAATGCTAGGTTTCATGTAGTCGTTGACTGGTTTGAAAAAGAAATAGAATTATTTGAAAAAAATGGATTCATATGTTTTCCTTCTGAGAGGGTACGTTAAGTCAAAACATTCTAAGTAAATTTAGGCATACAACAACTTTTACCTGTAGATTAATGTATATATTTTAATTCATTTGTCTACAAACGCTAACATCTGACAGGATGGTGTAAATCCGGCGAGGGTCCATGTCGGAAACAAGTCCTCACAGTCCTTAGTGTGATGATCGATCTTTAGTTGCTGGCGATCTATTGCCTGTTCCTATAATGTTTCGTGGACAGACATAAATATTGTTTTATGGTTACATCCAGGTTTCAAGTGTAAATATGTGACAATTTAGTAATTGTACCCTCCTTTGCCGTCCTATTTATATCGTTTAAGTTTGTTTGTTTAATATATGCCGTTCATATATGGCTGATATGTCTTTAAATCTTAAATCACTTGGCAGGCCGTAGAGTAGCCTAGCTCCAAGGCTGTACTGAATGCTAAGCCCATGGATGTATAGTAATTCTATTCTTTAGAGGCAAGTCTGAAAGAACAGGAAGGACGCAAGACTGTTATTTATGTTTTTAAAATTTTTTTAGTTTAAAATATATTAGTCTATAGCCATCGAAGAAGCGCCTTCTTAATTTCTGCAATCATAATGATCCAGGCCACTTGGAGACCGAATAGTGTTAATTCAAGCTCGAAATGCTTTAGCACCAACCCCTCCCTAAACTGGTTCAAATATGTTAATATTTTGTAAACATATCGTTTTATATTTGACCTTGCTGTGATTGCACCCCCTACTATGTTGCTGTAGGAGACGGAGGGTGTGTATCCTGCAGAGGCCAAAGGATTAAAAACAGGGCCATTCAGCATTACTCACGTGGACAGTAGTTCACACAGGGAGGACTATAGAGAGAGACACATGAGCTTAATCCACAACAAAGAGGTTGGTAACAGAGTATAAAACAGATCACTGTACCTTTTGTGTAAATTGTGAGTTGCGGGTGCTTCCCGAACGACATGTCTACGCTTTACGCGAACACCTGGGGTCTTCACTGATTTTCAGTGAAAACTTTCAATAATTCCCCACCCTGTTTTTCCTTTCGTGCCTAATGGAGTCTGCTCCAGCGGATAATCGAGACTTGTTAGTTTCTGGCATTGATGTTTTATATTCACAAATACGAATACGATAAAAAACGAATTATGATCCTCCGAGAATATAATTTCGCATGTTCAATACTGACATTCCCATCTTGTCAGAGTAAAGCTACAGTGTGATACCTAGTTGAATGTTGTTGGGTTTCCCATTGGTTCTTAGGGGGCGGTGGGTAGCCTAGTGGTTAAAGCGTTCGCTAGTCACGTCGAAGCCCCGGGTTTGTTTCCCCACATGGGTACAATGTCTGAAACCCATTTCTGATGTGATATATTGCTGGAACATTTCTCAAAGCTGCGTAAAACCACACTCACTCACTTACTTACTATTGTTTCGTCAACTTCCAACTGCCAATGTGTTTGCATTTCCTCAGCAATGTGTTTCAGGACCGTAAGCAACCAGTCACCGTATTCAGTCTGTGTTTCAGGACAGTAAGCGACCAGTCACCGTATTCAGTCTGTGTTTCAGGACCGTAAGCAACCAGTCACCGTATTCAGTCTGTTTCAGGGCCGTAAGCAACCAGTCACCGTATTCAGTCTGTGTTTCAGGACCTTAAGCAACCAGTCACCGTATTCAGTCTGTGTTCAATGGACACAATGTCAAATGCTGCCTCACTTCTGGAACTGGTCAACAAGACAGACACGATCATCAGTTCATCTGACCACAAGCCGGTACTGCTTGTGCACTGCCGGTGTGTTCAACAAATGGCTTCAATTACATCAGCTGTTGATAACATGAAATGTGGTCATCACTTTGAAGAATATTTCACTTTTATAGGGTTGTGTATTACGTTTGTGTGTTTATTAAATGACCATTGAAACTCTCGTGAAAATGAAGTATGCAACCCCACCCCCCTCTCTCTCTCAACCCCTATCTCCAGAGTGTGCACCCCCCTTTCTCAAACAGCGCGTTTGTGTGTGTATGTGCGCGCGCGCATGTGTATGCGTGTGTGCTTGCACTGCCACACTGAGATGCCATGCTGCCGATTAATGTGGGCGCCGCAGGGCTGGTAACATTAGGCTTAAGGTAGCGTCCCAGATGAGTGTATGCACCCCTCATAAACCGACGTACAGGTGTCTACTGTAAGTGGGAAACATGAGATACTAGTGGCATATGCTAGGAGAGAGAGGGCGACATCTAAGAGACTAAGATATATAATCTCAGAGATTAAGAATTCAAGTCCAACTGGACAAGTCTAACTGACGATGTGTAAAGTAATATTACGTTTATCTATATTTTTGGACTGACGGTTTCTGAAAATCCTGTCGCGGTTGTACAAAGCTATAAGCGCTAAAGTGTTCGTAACTACCATACTTCAACATAGCCTTACGACAGTCTTAGCGCTAAGGAAATTATGTAAAACGGCACCCTGGTACGCAGTGATATGTTACAGTGTAATAACGTGCCGTTTTTTGTGAACCAGTGACGGCGCGAGCGCGAGCGGCGTCTTCTGCAGTGTCCTCAACATCATCAGCAGACTGAGGCTGGACGGGGACGTGGACATCTTCCTCATCATCAGGGAACTACAGCGTGTTAGACCTCAGTTCATACAATCATTCGTGAGTCATATGATTCCTACGATTTGATAAAGAGCTACATGTACATAAAGGTTGTACATGTCACAGTCACTTAACAAGGTTTACTAACACAATTAACTTCTTGTTGAAATATTTGTTGTTTCAAACAGTAATATTGGTTTTCAGGACGATTTCAAGCTATGCTATGAAGTGGTGAAGGAATATCAGCGTGCGTGCAATATCTACGAGAATTTGTGACCAGAAACGTCTTGAAAAGCATCCCCGATGGCAGTTGACAAATCTAAAAATGTTGACAACATCACTGAGTCCATTCATCAGCTGATTTAAGTTCCTGTCTGTTTCTTGTTTAACGCCGCATGTCCCAGCGCCAGTCTGCAAACAATCGAGTTTGGACCAGACAATTCAGTGATCAACAGCATGAACATCGATCTACGCAATTGGGAACCGATGACATGTGTCAACCAAGTCAGCGAGCCTGACCACCCGATCCCGTTAGTCGTCTCTTACGACAAGCATTGGTTGCTGAAGACCAATTCTAACCCGGATCTTCACGGGTAGTTTACATTCCTATCAGCGGTATGAACTATATGTAACGCAAACATTCCATGAACGCAATAAATATTCAAATACAACCCTTTGCCATGTGACCTTAAAGGACAATTTTAGCAGCTTGACTATGAAAGAAGAAAGAAAATGCAGATGTTTTTCAGGCGAAAAGGTTTAGCGTTCACATTTCGCATGCGTTTGTTCATTACGTCAGTATATTCATACATGGGGCAATGTAACGCAACACTTAATTTAATTCCCATATAGCCATTTTTGTTCAAATAAAAATTATGTTTGTTTGTATGAATATTTTGACCCATACATTCTAGATATGCACGTGCCACGAACAAAGGCGAGCATCACGTGCAATAAGTGTGCCGTCATTAAGCAAATATTAGATTTCAGCACACTGTTCTAACAGTTCCATAACTGGGAAAATCAATTCATTTCGTTGTCGATAAGCAAATATGTGGGCTCCCCAACTGACAACTGCTGAAAGACGGCAAGTTATTGGTATGCAACATGCTAGAAAGTCATTGGACTAATGATGGACTATCAGCCGATTGGCCAGAAAACATCAGCACACTAATGACGTTAAGGACCGCCATGGTTCGGGTTGACCACGAGTGATAACTCCTAGGGAGGATACAAGCCTTGTCAGAAGCACAAGATTTCATCCATATAACGCCAAGCTGTGTGTTAAATAAGGTGTGGCTTCCACAATGTCGTTTGTGAGAACGGTCTGAAATCGCCAAACATCGGCCGGATGTAGAACCAGACGACCCATCAGACATCCGTTGTTATCCCGAGAGCACAAAGCAGCAAGACAAGCTTGGTGTCACGCTCGTCGTCATTGGAATTTGACGTCATGGGAAGGGTCCATTGGTCGGACGAAAGTCGATTCACATATGCCGAGTGGAATATCTCGGAGTATGTACCATTTGACAGGTTGGGGGTGGGGGGTGTTTCCATCTCACATGTCTGTAGACTTGACCCTGAGACGATCAGACAACATCTGAGTGGACAACTGTACATCACTGACATCCTAGACCGGGTTGTTGTCCCACATTTCGATGACATCCCCTGAACACAAAGCCGACAATGGACGACAATGCTGGGCCTCAAGATGGCTGGTCAACGCGACACAGCAACACTCCTGCTATATAACTGCTGTTGGCAGAGAATAGAGTCTGGGGCCCGTTCCTCAAAGCGATCGTAACCCTAAGGTGATCGTAACTGTACTGTTTTTGATGACCGATGGATTATCAGGGCACTTGATTTCAATAAATCAAACCATGCATTGGAATTCACATGCTTTTATTAGCCAGCGTATTTTTTTACATCCTCTAGGGGGGTAACTCTCTTGCTCTTAGTTGTTTTTGCATACCGCTAAACAATAATACCGCTAATAGAGTTATAACACTACAGTAACTCCCATACTTTGACATAGACTTACGACTGTAGTAGCGCTACGATCGCTTTGAGGAACGGGGGCCTGGGCCAGATAATCCATTCACTGTTAGCAAAGAATAGAGTCTGGGCCAGATAATCCATTCAATGTTGGCAAAGAATAGAGTCTGGGCCAGATGATCCATTCACTGTCCGCAAAGAATAGAGTCTGGGCCAGATAATCCAATCACTGTCCGCAAAGAATAGAGTCTGGGCCAGATAATCCATTCACTGTCCGCAAAGAATAGAGTCTGGGCCAGATAATCCATTCACTGTTGGCAAAGAATAGAGTCTGGGCCAGATAATCCATTCACTGTCTGCAAAGAATAGAGTCTGGGCCAGATAATCCATTCACTGTTAGCAAAGAATAGAGTCTGGGCCAGATAATCCATTCACTGTTGGCAAAGAATAGAGTCTGGGCCAGATAATCCATTCACTGTTGGCAAAGAATAGAGTCTGGGCCAGATAATCCATTCACTGTTAGCAAAGAATAGAGTCTGGGCCAGATAATCCATTCACTGTTAGCAAAGAATAGAGTCTGGGCCAGATAATCCATTCACTGTCCGCAAAGAATAGAGTCTGGGCCAGATACTCCATTCACTGTCCGCAAAGAATAGAGTCTGGGCCAGATAATCCATTCACTGTCCGCAAAGAATAGAGTCTGGGCCAGATAATCCATTCACTGTCCGCAAAGAATAGAGTCTGGGCCAGATACTCCATTCACTGTCCGCAAAGAATAGAGTCTGGGCCAACCATTCACTGTTGGCAAAGAATAGAGTCTGGACCAGATAATCCATTCACTGTCCGCAAAGAATAGAGTCTGGGCCAACCATTCACTGTCCGCAAAGAATAGAGTCTGGGCCAGATAATCCATTCACTGTTGGCAAAGAATAGAGTCTGGGCCAGATACTCCATTCACTGTCCGCAAAGAATAGAGTCTGGGCCAGATAATCCATTCACTGTCCGCAAAGAATAGAGTCTGGGCCAACCATTCACTGTTGGCAAAGAATAGAGTCTGGACCAGATACTCCATTCACTCAAACAACGATCAAACGCATTAGGGTGGGACGACGCTGTTATCCAACTCACGAAGTCAATCCAATTCATAATGTTGTCTCTTACAGCAACCTCCATTGGTTGCTGGGTATATATATACTGGACAAAATAAGTTAGGGATATTGGTATTTTTATGATTTATATCTTATCAGTGTGTCAATGAATAAATAGATCATTATTCATAATTTCAAAATTTACATATATCCCTAACTATTTTTGTCCAGTATATATAACCTAGGATCCCCCAGTGTTCAAACACAGGTTATCACTTCAAATACCTGTTTATTCATCTTCAAGTGGAAAAGGTTATCAAATGTACAAGGACATGGCACGTATGAAAATAGATGAATTAGGAAGCTCACTTCACAAATATCAATACAGCAGTGATATAGTTTAGTGTTATATAAGAACACACTCAAACAGGAAGCTTGGGGGCAATATGGATTTCAGGTTTCTGGGATATATCTGAATACAAGTGGATGAAAGCGATGAGCAACAGGTATGATGTGTGTGGGTCGGTGCCATCTGAATGGTGGTGTGGGGGCCAATTAAAGTTTGGTTGTGTGTTTAATGACTCCTTCATTAAAACTGAAACATACATGGCAAGCATGAAACAAGTCAACACTGAGTCCAAATCCCCAACCTGGCTGCCCATCTTCCTATTGCCTTACCCTACCCAGGTACCTGGTGTAGCTCTCAAGCATGAGGTACAAAATATCTGACTAGATACATATGGATACTGGAATTAACTGAAGCCTCGTCTTCACCCAGGTATGTGAAAGGCAGAAGGAATGGCTGCTTCAGAGATATGCCAACATCAGTGACCTGTAGTTTAACCACTGAGTTTTGTTCTTGCACAAAATATATCATGAATGACTTACCCATGGTCAGGGAAATCACATGGTGAGCCTGGACCACCTGACCTGGTACCCAAGTCCTAATAATCCCAGTCCTAATATTCCCCAAATCCAGTCATATTATCCACCCAATCCCAGTCCTATTATCTACCCAATCCCAGCTCTAATAAACCCCCAGTCCTAGCTCGAATATCCCCCCCAAATCACTACCCTAATTAAACACCAACAGCCCCGACCCAAATCCAAGGCCTAATATCCCCTCAATCCAAGTCCTAACAACCCCCAATCCCAGCCAAACCACAGCTTACAGTCACTCAACATAGTCCAATATCACACTGAGTAAATATAACATTTACCTCATACTGGAATATTGGACATAGATATCATTATCACCAATGTGATGCCACTCACATCAAGAATGCTGAATCTTTGGACACATTTAAATCGTCTCTAAAAACCCACTTTTTTCGTCTTGCCTATTACTAGACTTTCTATGTTCAATTGTCTCTCTGTAAATAGTTTTAACTATTTTCATTTCTCCTATAGTATTGTAGCGCCATGAGCGGGTATTAGTACCTGGATGTAGCGCTATATAAATACCCACATTATTATTATTATTATTATTATTATTAAGTGTATCCCACTTTTTGTGCATATTGGTATATATGGTGTGACGTTACTCTACTGCTTGTGTACACTACATGTGCATTTTGAATAACCCCCCTGCACTTATCAATGCCATCTTGTTATCATGACAAGCAATCAAATCAAAAAGTCTGTCCATCTGATCCATTGGTCACCTCTTATAAGCTAAGGTTGCCGAGGATAATACTGACATGAATCCACGTTTCTGTATTTTGTATGTCTGTGTTGCTTGTCTGACTCCCACAACTGCTTCTAGAATATCACTCTAGTCGATACTAGCAAAACACATTAAAATTAAAATTGTATGCAATATAACCGAGATAGACACTCGACTCAACGTACATGTTTTACGTATGCTGACAAATGTATTACAAAGACCAAACATTTCTCATACTGACATGCATCAATTTTCAGATATGGAAATAACATAATTTACTGGCAAAAACTGAACAATCTGGAACCTTGCTTCTCCAACACAAACTTCAACACCATGAATACTGCATAAGGAAATCTCAACCAAGAAAGATGTAAAACAGTCATTGCTATGGTGACTAATAAGCCGTGCCAATGTTCACCAACATATCAATACATGGCACATTTTGGCAAACATTAACACATGAAAGCCTTTTGTAGCATAATCACAAACAAATATGGATATCCAAAGTATACAACAAGGATTGTTCCAACATATCCTTCAATATATCAACAACACATTTGTTCACGATCAAATCTGTAACTTCAACACTAAGGTATATACACAGATATGATTTTCAAGCAATATATTAAAAAGTCACTCTCTAATATTGACTGTCACTGTTTGGAGTTTTTTGACAAAGTTTGTTTCTGTGTTAGGTCAAGATAATATGATTAAGAGCATTTCAGTCAATTGTTTGTTGTTTAATGCTACACTCAACGATTTTCCAACATCATGACCAAGTCTGTAAATAATCAAATCTGGACAAGAATTGTGGTTCCTTAGAAGAATGAACTGTCCATAAAAGGTGTTCATGGTTTTACACCGCTTTTAGCAATATTCCAGCAATATCACAGCGGGGGACACCAGAAATGGGCTTCACACATTGTACCCATGTGGGGAATCGAACCCAGGTCTTCAGTGTGACAAGTGAACACTTTAACCACAAGGCTACCCCACCGCCCTGTGCCCCTTAAGAAGTTAAAGAACACCCACTATATATCGTAGTTAATCCGTCATGCATTGTGAGATTAACTATAAAAATATCAGGAGTTTTAAACTTCTTTTGAGTAAAATATTTTACATAACATATGTTACATCTACCATATAAAAACAATGAGACATCCTACATATCTCTGCATCCTTCAATTATATACATTCATTAAAATAACCATTGAACATTTTATCATGGTTAAGCCTTACATAAAAAAAATTCAAATATTTTTTGGTATCGTGGTGTAAGGCACATGAACTTTCATTTGGAGCCTTGAGTAATATACATTAAAACCACAATACAATGATAATACACAACTTTGCAATTGTATGAAATGGAAATTGGAAGAAAATATATCGTAACTATGCATGTATTAACACATATAGTCAATGTAATAAACAGTGTGACCTGAGGAAGGTAAGGGTACTGGTGACATGTGACATTGTGACAAGTGGCTGAGGCTTGTCAAGACTTTTCTGGCAATGGACGACCATTGTTTACCGTACAAATTACTTATAAAGGAAGAGGACTCCATTTGACCAGCGTCTTTAGATAGCGTCAATCTTTATCTAATTCTACTGTAATAGCAGCATCGACTCAGAATGATGAAATACACCCTACTATAGTTGAATCCATAAAAACAGAATTGGGACAAATTTGGATTTCTATCACTGCATAACAACGTTGACAGCAAACACCATTTCTTGCAGAATCTTGTTATTCTAAAGGGAAAAGGCTTGAGCAAATTGGCAATTCTAACAAACTTGTTGTTCTGGTACTAGTTATTCAGTTCACATTGCTATATATGTAAATAATCTTGAAAGAGACATTACGTCACCTCATGTGTTCAATCTACTGTCGCATGATCCATCCATCCATCTGACACTGTTTAACAGTTACTCTTTCAGAGCCATTACCCTCTACATGGTATGACAGAGACTGTCTGAGCCGCTTTTAGCAACATTCCGGCAAAATCATGCAGGGGTGGAAATAACCCATTGCCCGACGTCCGAGTCCAGTGTTTTTTTCTGTCGGGCAAGCAAATTTGTATATCACACTGTACCGGTGTCCAGTTGACTTTCCAATGTTAATAATGTTGTTTATTTTAAAAAGCAACAAGAAAACGGCCGCGATAGTGGAAAAATGATCAGGGCAAGTGATTTTACATGTGCCACTGTACCGGAGTGCACTAGCAATTTTAAAGTTATTTCCACCCTTGTCATGGCGGGGACACCAGAAATGGGCTTCACACATTGTGCCCATGTGGGGAATCGAACCCAGGTCTTTGACGTGACAAGCAAATGCCTTAACCACTGGCCTACCCAACCATCCTGTATTATGCTGACAGAAAGGATGTCTTAGTTTCTCATGGTGCAAATATTACCATGTCAACATGATCAAGATAGCTTTACAATGGAAAGTCCCTTTTCAAGATACTGGGGAAGAAATTTGTGCAAGACTTATAATTTACATTGAAACTATATTCCCTTTGTTCATTTGGTATACCCATATGTATATAGCACCAGTCATGTGCAGTTTCGTACATTATGAGCACATGTCACAATGCATTGCACATCAGGTGCAGAATAGGCATGTCATGTGCAACATTGCACATGTACAGAATAGGCATCAGTCATGTGCAACATTGCACATCAGGTGCAGAATATGCATGTGTGCAACATTGCACATGTACAGAATATGCATCAGTCATATGCAACATTGTATGTAAAAATATATATAAAATCTCATAAAATTATCAACATTAACCCCAAAATAGGACAAACTAGAATAATGATGATATGGCTAAGTTAAAATTGTGAAACACAAGTTAGAAAACCTTGTCAAACATGAAGTAACCCCCCGACATTTGGCTGTTTGATTTAAAACCAGTAACTAATACCATGTGATGTGCGTGGCACCTGTGTGTGCATATATATAAAACATGTATCAGTATGCATGAGGCTAGACAATACTACAGCCACTTCAATACAAACAAACTATACAGAATAACTTAAAACAGCCAGACAACATAAAGGCCATGACTCAAACCAAAATGTACATCATTTTCATGACAAATGTAGACAAAGTTACACCAGTAGTTAGCCAACCATCAATACGTGATACGTACCTAAGACAAATAATAACTTAAGTCCTGACCAGTTTAAACCCATGGCCTGTGTCAATCTCTTTAGGAGGAAGCCATCTCATCTGTTTACGACGCAAACAACGTAAAATACTCGTACACATACAACAAATAGCACCAAAGCTTGGAAGATTGACAGCTTTGATCAAAGGCTTGGTGATTTTGGGGAAATTGGTGTCCCAATATTGAGCAAAGTCTTCCGAGGTAGGTAGATGGAAAGTGAAGTCGGTCCAGTTTTTTGGACAGGACGTAGATGGCATGGGTCAGTCTGGCCTTGTCTGTCCAGCTGGGGTCAACGTCCTTGCCCACATTGTAGTTGACCCAGTCCTCTGTGAAACTCCCCACCCCTCTCGGTCCGCTGGACTCAAGGTCAGTGGGTTTTGAGTACTTGCAGGTTTGGATGGCGACAAATTCGTCGACACAGTTACGTACGTTGCGTGTCCAGGTGGTGTAGTGGCCAGCGTCCAGGACGATGATGAGGCGAGAACCACTGCCATCATTCTTTGCTGACCACCACTCCAGCAAGGTCTCGGGCTTCAGGTTCTTGTTGTCTGAAACAGTCATGTCAGCATTTACAGCAAAGAAAGTTAGTAAACATGATACAAGGCCCATAAGTAGTCAGTCAAGGCACTTCATCATGTTCATGAGACTTCATACCTTTTCGAATTGTGTCATGCTTGTCAGTTGACAGTAAGAAACTTATCATTCTTGCAGGAATAACAAATTTCCAATCTCCATCCCCAACTATTACGACTGTCAACAGCTGTGACAGGCATGGTTGTACACTTGGTCTGGTCTAGTAAAGTCATATTTGGCGTGTCTTGCAATTTGGAACCAGAACTGGTTCTTGAATATACGCTTGTCAACGGAAATCTGGTACCCGAATGTAAGCTGGGTCACGTCGCGCATATCGCAAGTTGGCATGCAACGGGAGCCGGAACCAGCTCAGTACTGGAAGAAGCGCCCTTCGAGACTTACAGGCCCTATACACACTAAATGTAATAAACTACCATTGAATCTTTCATGATTCGTAACATATTTTCTGCATAAAACTGTATTACTCGTTGGATTGTCTGGTCACGACATGAATATTTAGAGACCACTGTCACACATTCGTTCTACTGCTGAGCACTCACTGGATTGTCTGGTCTAGACATGAATATTTAAAGACCACTGTCACACAGCAGTTCTATTATGGAGCATGGTGTCAAACTTAAATAACAGAACCAAAATACATGTACTCAAGTAAACATTTCTGACATTGAAGCCTCACCTGCTAGTGCTAGATCTCCGTTCTCATACACCTCACCACTGTAGTACAGCAGGTAGGTATCAAAGCGTGGCCCATCTGCCGTCCGCCGCTCAAAGAAGGCATTCACCTTGCTCTTCAGGTAGTCGTCGCTCAGTCCGCTGGTGGAGTAGTCACAGCCGTAGTTGTCAACCATGTGGAAGCCGAACAACTTGTGGATGTGGTTGAGTGTGTTGGTGGCACGATTTGTCATGTCTTGGAGGGACGCCGAAGAGAGGAGCTTGGCAGGGCCATTTGGTCTGATATTGACAAACATGAATGTGTGAGTCAGTGAGTATGGATTAACACCGTTTTTAGCAATGTTCCAGCAATATCACAGCAGGGGACACCAGACATGAACCTGGATCCTCCGCATGACAATCAAACACTTTAACGACAAGGCTAGCCCACCACCCCATGAACAATGATGAATATGTGAATTTCATGAATAACAGATTAATTGAGTCATCTTGGTAACACTTTGAATACAGATAAACATAATATTGTTGATAAGCAAACAAATACACAAATTAATAAAGCGAGTGAGTGGGTTTGGTTTTACGCTGTTTTAGCAATATTCCAGCAACATCACGGCATGGGACACCAGAAATGGGCTTCACACATTGTACCCATGTGGGGAATCGAACCTGGTCTCAGCGTGACAAGCTAACCACTAGGCTACCCCACCGCCCCAAATTAATAAAGGCATATGTTGGCATACATAAGTCTAATGAATCATATAAATTGTGCTGAGGGGAAAAACCCTCCAATACACTTTAAGATGAATACAATTTATTTCACGAATATAGGGTAACGAATACGAATATTTATTCATGAATGCTCTGTGTTAATTAACAATAACATGCAAATTTAATATATATTTTGCTCAGGTTGAAACATTTCAATGATATTTTTGTAAGCCAAAAATAAAATACATCACTACAGTGCTGCTTATAAAAGTCATAGCCAGATGTCACTAACTTACACTATTGTATGGCTTGTATAAATTCCATTTTGCGTATCACACTTACATATATACATGATATATCAGATTTGCTTCAAATGAAAAACACTCTTTTTATAACATTCAAAAACATTTGATTCTAGTGACCATAAATTATGAACTGAATTCATGAAGGGACATGGTTTAATTAAACGAATATGCAAGCGAATCGTAACTGGACAAATTGTCAAAGAGCTATTGTTCTGAACCTGTCCTCAACATGCTCAATGCTTCTGTTTTGTTGCCTGAAACAAACTGCTGATAGAAAATTTGTGATTGACAATAACTATGACACTTGGATGAAATGGGATGCTCTGTCATGTTTTATCATTATATCAACCTTGCTGAGCTTGCACTTCAGTAGGCTTGTCATTAATGTCAAGGTGATTGAATCAAGAAGTGTCAAAGGCAGAGTGAATTAATGCCACTGCACATACAAAAGATGGGAGGCCGTCAGGAACACATCATGTACAACTGTGACTAGAGTGAGTTTGGTTTTACGCCGCTTTTAGCAATATTCCAGTTACATCACGGCGGGGGACACCAGAAATGGGTTTCACGCATTGTACCCATGTGGGGAATCGAACCCGGACTGTGACTAGAAAACAGTTTGGTCTTGTTCAAGCAGGACTAATTACAAATTTTGACAATTAGTGAAATATAGTTTCCACTAGCCTCGGGAACAATCTGGAGTACAAGATTTTCAAACATGTCGAAGAATGGGCTTGAAAATAAATGAATTCCTACCTGATGCTTGTGACTGGTGCAATGACGCCGAATCCTGTGCAGGTCCCTCCAAGGAAGTCCCCGAGTTCCGAGAACAGACTCAAGGACATGGCTTCAATGGGCAATACAATCCAAGCCAAGCTCAGACTGTACCCAGTCCGTGTCTCCCATCCAATACCCGTCAGAATAATCGTTGTAGTTAAAGAAAGGCATATCAGTCTGTGCGAGATCAGACCAAAATGGCGGATACCCTTGGATGCCATTATTCTGTTGTAACTTTGTTGTTCGTCGGCTAGGCTTATATATGTCAGGTTACATTCTGTTATCTTGCCCATCAGTTTCCAGCAAGATATGAAATAAATAACATGAAACAAAATCCATATGAAGGCAAATACTGCAAAAACTGGCACTACCACAAACCATTCCTTATGGTTGAAGCTCTGAATCCCAATCAAGGAAGCAAGGACCAGATCAAGGCCAAACACAAACAGAACAATCAAATAACGAAGCAACTTAGACATGTTAAAAAATGGCTTCCATCGCTCAATTGTGGTCAATGCTGAGAAATAAAAGTCAATGATTGGCTGGAATGAGTGACGTCCGATGAAATAGATCAGCGCGTATTTGTTCGGGGACATGTGGAATCCAGGAAAGAAGACAAAGACTCCAACACAGAGTAGACTCACGAAGCTGATGAGTCCAAGAAAAGATTTCATTCGTAATGCGATGAGGTGCATGGTGAAGGCAACGATCAACATGGACATGGGAAGCCCCTTAGATGTGTCCATTGCAAAGGTGGCAATGACAAGTCCCAGAGATTCAAGACCTTCTGACTGAGTCAGTATACATGCGTCCAACTTC